TTTTTCCCATATTCAATCCTATATGGTATATGTATGAAGCTAACACAAAAATACCCCTGCCGCAGCAAACCTGCACACCAAGCAAATTTCCATTTGCCTGAATTGATTTTCAATTAAATGTATTTAATTAACATTAGGTTTTATGATTATTGATTACCGGTACCTAGGCTTGCTGCTACAGGGAGAAAAAGGCATGGAAAAAGTGTGTTTTTTAGTAAAATATTAATAATTTAGTATAAAATAAATAAATTTACCAAGTTTGATCAAAATATATCCATAAACAAGCAAACTACAACATTGTACAACATTCTCCATAAGAATAACATGGAAATTTTAAAATAAATTTTTTTTGAATTTTCTCCGTAACCAATAATTGTACAAAAACACTTTGATATACTAAATTATTTGTTTTTTTTAAGCTCTTTAAAAAGGTCTGGAGAGAAATTGGGAAATTTTGTGTTTAGAGGGTCAAAAATTAGAAAAACCTATTTTTACCCCATAAAACCCTGTTCTCATTGTCCGATCATGCTGGATCGCGAACTCATTCAAGTTTATCCTGCCTTACACCTTCAAACCAAATTTCATCAAAACCGGACAAAAATTACTCAAGTTATAGTCCCGTGCTCACGGACATATATATATATATACAGTCTACAGGTATAAAGATTCTCTGAAAATATCTTTGATCAGGCTCATCAAATTTCAAAATGGCGGCCATTTAAATTCTTTTAAGTAAAACTCACTGAAAAGCGGCCATTACAAAAAAAAAATTAAATGGTCGCCATTTTGAAACTAAATGAGCCTGATCGAAGATATTTTTGGAGAATGTTTATACCTGTAGACTTAAAGTTTATACCAAGTTTCATAAAAATATCTCCAAGGGTTTTTGAGTAATTAATTATTTTCAAAAAAATACAAAATGGCGGATTACGGCCAAACTAAGCCGAAATCGAAAAAAAGTTATTCTTCATTTTCGACTTATTTTTGCATGTAGAATCTGAATCTGCATAGCCCGCTACGCTTTAATGAAACACCCTGTATATACGCATATATAAAAATTTGAACGAATGTGTTTTTGGCCTCTGAGGACATCAAAATGAAAAAGTAATTCAGTCCCGGGCCTAGGTCTGACCATGCCACCTACAGTAATATCTACTTCCCTATAGGGAAATTCGCTAAAAGGAATTTGTACAACATTTTTACGATACAGAAGCAATGGATCAGAGCTAAGTTAAAAATAAACAACGGTGATTCAGCAAAATAACACTTAAAACATTTAAGAATCCTCACTGCTTATGGTTTTTATGTTCTTTATATGACTGTATTATGTTTGTCAAAAACAAAAATTTCAATCCACTGATTAAAGAAAACAATCATAACTACAATACACGCAACAAAAATAACTTTACGCCACACTACATTATTTTGACGAACTTCCCACGCAAGGAATTAGTCCAGAAAACAGCTGTTTGCCGCCAGCTTATTCAAATGGGGTTTCATTGCGTACTACTGTGCTGCAATGAGTTTTGCCGGACACCAATCAGCTGATTATACTGTATTTAGGTGGCAGTGAGTAGTTATAAACAAAAACATAACCTCTCTTAGAGGTTATGACTAGTGATTTTTAGTCCTTTAGTTGGTGGAAATAAGGATTTGTACGGATTTAGTAGTATGGCGTAAACTATCGTACGTAACTCGTCCAAAATGTGTGTACCGGACTCGTATGGTAATCCCGTACTCGACTTCGTCTCGCACGGGAACGACCACACTCGTCCGGTAAACACTTATTTTCAGGACTAGTAACGTAATATACTATTGTAGTTGGACATTATAGCTCTTCAGGGCTTTGCCAATACAGTAGTTAGAAAAACGAATCGAATCCGAATCCTTTTGGAGATTCGATTCAGATTTGAGTACGAATCTACTGTTTCTAACTGTATTTGGAATCGATCACCGATTCGTCAGTCGGTTTTAGAACCAACAGAGAACAAAATGGCGGGCATGGTTGGGACTGGTTTCCTTGCTTCTTGTTCAGTGTCAATTGAACCAAATTAGGATTGGGATTGGAAGTCAAATATTTTTTTTCTTTCTCTAGGACGCTAGGCCTGAGCCCGGAATTGTTTTTCACATTACTTCAGGCTAGACCTAGGGGTTACGGCATTATCACTTAGATAAAATCCATTAGTGATTTGGCCGGATTTGACCCGGGACCTCAGGAACCGGAGTCCCGCGCTCTAACCACTAGACCAGCTCGCTCCCCAGAACTCGAACATTAGAATGACTTGAGTTTAGTATTTGAGTCTTCTTGAATGACTTGATATAAAGGGGGGTCTACACGCAAGGATTTGGCGTACGTTTTACCTGCACAGGTGGAAAGAAATGCGTCCACACGGTACAGGTTTCAGCACCAGCTTTTGGTGTAGTTTTCTGATAACTTTCAGTGTATGTGCATGTAATATCATGGGAGATGTGTTACTGTGGTCGATTTCTACAGCCAGTGTTACAAGAAAGCAAAGAAATAAGTCTGAGCGACGCTATGGTCAAGACGTTGGTTACTAAAAAGACAACCAATTCCATAATAGTTTCACTGTTCACGTTCGAATATACTGCTTAGTATTTTTCAAAAGTCTCTAAGTCTTTTTCTTATCACAGTCACTATGTTCCTTACTCTTGACCCTCCATAAATAAGGAAAACTTCTGTATAGTTCGATGAATTCAACAACAACATCACAGGAACACTGGCGAAGATCTGCGATCCTAAAAACTATGCTCTCCGCAATAGTTTTATCGCTCCGTCTTCCGTCTCCGCGCAGTTCTAAAAAATGCACAGTTTTGCGGTACACACGCAACGATTTGACTGCAACGATTTACTTGCACAGGTAAAACGTACCGTAAATCCTTGTGTGTAGACAGTGGCGGTTCCAAGGGGGGGGGGGGCTACAGGGGCTAAAGCCGTCCCTTGGACCCTGGAAAATAAATTTAAACGTACATTTCGTCCTTAAAACACACAATGTCATAAAACAGACATCAATGTAGTTTTTATTAAACTTAATAAGCGATGGCAGGAGTAGTATTAAGTTCCACATGAATAAACTTTGTGGACAATAGCACAACGAATAAAACAATATTACGCCATGGAAAGTTGTGTGCATCATCCAATTTTTACAGCAGTCAGCTGTTGACATGCTTAGGGCAAAGGCGAGCGCCGAGCGAGGACGAGGAAACAGCTGATTTCCTGATGTTCCATAGTTGTCAAATTGTCTGCTAGCCACTAACTTTACACAGGCATCAATCAGCAATTAGCGGTAGCACCAATAGCCAACACTAGTGTTAAAGTTTATATAGTCAATGCTATTACTGAATTCGATACTATACATATTGTGACAGATCTATGAAATGAAGAAAAACATAAGGTTAAATAACGTGTGTCTACTTGCTTGCATGACATATAACAGGTGAAATGGAAGGTTTTAGGAAAATTGGGCACAGTTCTAGCCATTAGAAATGGCTTTATAAAGTCACCATACAACTTTTAGGAGATAAGGCTTTGTAGTCTACTGTCTACAGTAGGGTTATGTTTTGAAATTCATTAATGCAAGTTCGTCATAGTTTGATTTTTAAAACGTCTACTTGCTCATGACAAAGACAAATAACAGGTGAAATTGGAGGTTTTTGGCCAGTTGGACACAGGTATAGTCTTTGACTTTAATAAAGACTTTAGAAAGTCAGTAAAAAGCTTTTAGGAGGATACAATATGTTTTGAGATTTATGAATGCAATCGTCATAGTTAATTTTAAAAATGTCTACTTATTCATGACAAATAAATGGGAAAATGGGAGGTTTTGCACACAGTTCTAGACGTTGAAACTGGCTGTAGAAAGTCACCCAACGGCTTTTAGGAGGATATGGCCGTAGTCTACAGTGTATTTTGAAGTTCATGAATGCAAACGTCAGTTTAATTTTTAAAATGTCTATTTTCTCATGACAAACAACAGGTGAAATGGGAGTTTATGGACAATTGGGCACGGTTTTAGGTGTTAAAAATGGCTTTAGTAAGTCACCAAACGGCTTTGAAAATTCAACATTTTCCTGGACCCCCCCTGCTATATTGGGGGGTGCTCTGCACCCACCTAAGCGCCCCAGTAGCCCCCCCCCCCTTGACAAGGCCCTACATAGAACCGCCACTGCGTGTAGACCTGCCTTAAGACAGACAACGATAATGGGACAGCATTTGTATGTTAAATGGACGCCAGATTATTATAATTTATAGTTCTAATTATGCACTTCTTCTGATTAAATTGAAAATATAATGTACCGGTAAATATAGCCTCATTCAAGTAGTGTAACTTACAGGTAGTAAAAGGTTGACAATTTAAAGTTCATGTTAGGAACCTGACCATAGTATAACTTAGTGTTATACTTTGGGCCTGGGTCGCATATGAACCCTATCTTGGCTATCAGTAAACTTAACCTCACAGTGTGAATTGTTAACTTGTAATAGTCATATAGACTTAGGTTTTTGTAGGGAAATAAAACTGAGGTGTATAGGCATATGTTTTAAATCACTACACAAATTGCTAGACCATCACAAAAAAATTGTAGATCCAATCGGATTAGATAAAATCTGTACCTACCGTTTTTTTTTGTTTTTTTTTACATCTTAAGGAATATTTAATGGACATGTGCTATACTCTTTAAATAAACTGAAAATTGTTACTATCATAGTTTTAAGATTTAAGCCTTAGTTTCAGTTTATTTAATGCTATTAATGTACAACCATGAATACTCTTACGAATAAAGATTCTTCATTATGACTAGTCTTGCAACTACGTACTGTACTGTACAGTTTATAGTACTTTATGGTTATGGACTACCAGGCAAGTGTCCAAAGCAGGGAAAATTTAAGATTAGTAGGTTTAGAAATTTAAGATTAGGTTTTGGTTTTTGAGATTCAAATTTCTGTTTTGACCATCACTATTTAAATGGTAATAAAATGTCAATTCATTTTTAAACATATTTATTAAATGAACTTAATGAATACAATAACTAACCAAAACAATATGATCCACACTATTATGTACCGTTGTGTAAAACATTTTTGCTTAACTGTAAGACTGTTATGCTTGGTACAAAAACTTCAACAATTAAAGAAAATGTAAATTGATCCAAATGCAAAACAAAAAATGTCTAACCAGCATATAAAGGAAAAAAGCAAATGATTATGAAAAATATAGATACAACGTAAAAAATGATTTCTCTTGGCTTGCATCTAAATCAAACTCTACATTGAAACTCTTGTTTGAGTTATGTACAAATACAAGTTTGATTTTCTACAATAAAACAATGATTCTTGTATGATATCTCTCCAATACAATTTCACAATAAAATATGATCAATAAAATGTGAACTTTATACAGATCAACTACAAATATCAATTCAATTATAATTTAATGCTAATTAATTAACCTTAAAATGTATTCTTTCAATGTCAGGCAAAGTTAAATTTATTTTTATGTTGCTTATACATTTTAATAGCTAATTAAAATAACTTCTTGTTCAGCATCGTACGTGTTATTAAATTACCTTGACGCACAAAAATACGTCAAATAACACTTTTAATAATATATTTACACTTATCTTTTATATGTATTTACCGTCTTGTGAGTAAACAGTATAATTGTAAATATATTATTATAAGTGATATTTGACATATTTTTGTGCTTTCAGTTAATTAAAATGTATCCGAATTCCCTTTTCTTTAAATAAAGTATTTTTTCATAAGTTTAGATATTTTTAATCAGATCTGTATAAAGTAAAATATAATGCTACTTACTAGCATTTGTAAAAAATCTTGCATAAGTTATAAGTGAAGAGAGTTTTTATATTTTACAATATATCAACAATTGTATATAAACAACCAATTAATCAATAAAAAACTTGGAGTTACAAAAACTCAAATCAAAACTTAAAACCATCATAAATCAAATGATCACTGCAGGGAAAAAATAATTATAGCAAAATATTACAGTAAAGAAGTACATTATAAACAGTTTTTAAGAGAGCAAAATGAATACGGTGTATGAAATAGTCATTTAAACCATATTTGTTTGCAATAGCATGTTAATACCGTTTGCCAAGTATCTAAAATAATTTTGACAAAGAGGGAATGATATATATATGCACAATATTATCATACAAATAATTAAATAAAAATTTGACAATACTTTAACGGAATGAAATCTATTATACAATGAGAATCATTTATATACTAAACTATATTTCAACCTTTATACAAAATATAGCTTTATATGAAACAAAAACGTTAGGGCTTATGTGTAAAGACTCCACGAGTATGTTTACTTGGGTTGGGAGCGAGAGACTCGGTAACGATTGTATGATCGGTACGGAGCTTTGTCCACAGGGTTGTCAGACAACACGATCGTGTGGTTAGGTTGGTAGTCCGGTAGATTACCCATCATCCACTCCGTGGCAAAGTCGTACTGCTGCATTGTCAAGTGTGTACGAGCCCAGTTCTGGTGCCACAAGCGGAACTTCATGCTCATTCGTAGACTCAATTTCCTGTGAGTCTGTAAGAACAATGAAAGATGCAATAAGGATAGATGTTGACACGGCAGAAAAATCATTTAAATATATTTTGCTCGTAAAAAAGTAGACACACAGTTCTTGATTATTATTACTGTATAGAATTTATACAAATCACAAATAAACCTGTAAAATTGTCATCCCAAGCTGAGCTATATTCTAACCTGACAACAGAACTATAGAATTTTTTAAAACAAGATTGGTACTTAGCATGAATCACTTGCCATTTCAGGTGATCTAAACAATTTTGACAAAGAATAAACAGTACAACTTACAAACAATCTCCATTAAAAAATAATATAAAATTTCCCTTTAACTAGCTTTAATATTTTTTATGGAGTATGTGAGGTTCACTTACATAGGACATTTTAGACTTTTGAATAGGCCTACTGAAGTAGTCATCCCATATAAATGGACCTACTGCAGCATATGAATGAGTCAATTACAGCGTGTGCTGTGTCGAAATTCTGCAGTGTGGTAGAAAAGTCCCGGAACGGTTTAATATATTTTTTACCGATATAGATAAAGTAATGAGACTTGGTATTTCAATAGTAGCCATAAATGTCTACTTTTTTAAGCTACTATCACTTTTTTTATCCCCAAGGGCCCACGATGAGTCAGACAAAATTCTTAAATAGCAGCATAGGTCGAGTTTGGTAAAACATTAAAGGTCTTAGTTAGTAGAACATATTGCTGCAAACCCGAACTCAGGCCCGTTTTTGACCCTGTTAGCGCCCTAGGCACAACTAATAGTAGCGCCCCTTTGAAATATATATATAAGGGTGTCCACCGACCGGGAAATCCGGGAATCATGCGGGAATTTTATGAACCAGGAATTATGTGTGAATTTTGTATTTCTACCTGGAGTTTTCAAATTACCGTGATCGCGCATGACAACAGTTTCCGTGACCGCGGGAGACGATAATATGTCTACACTCGGCCGTGAGATATTCAGAATATTTCCACAATCACGGAAGACGATGATAATGTCCACCGCGCGAAACAGTAAGAATTGTACCGCGATCGCGGAAGACGATGATGATCCACACAACTGCGGAACATGATTAACATTTTGCTGCAATCGCGGGAGATACAATAATAATTTACACGGCCGCGAGGGACGATCGGAATTATGCCACGATCGCGAAAGACAATGATAATGTCCACATGACCGCGGAAAGAAATCAGAATTTTGCCTCATTCACGGACTTAAGACGACGATCTCCATATGTCCACAGGGGATGATTACAATTTTTCCACAATCGCAGGAGACGATTACGATGTCTACAGGACCACGGGAGATACAATAATGATTTCTACACGGCCGCGAGGGATGATCAGAATATTGCCGCGATCACAGAAGACGATGATAATGGCCACACGATCGTGGGAAAAGTTCAGTACTTTACCTAATTTGCGGAAGAGGATGATGACCCCACAAGACCGAGGGAGATGATTACCATTTTGTCACGACCGCGGGGGACGATATAATGATATCTTCACGGCCGCGAGGGGTGGTCAGAATTTGACCGCGATCGCGCAAGACGAAGATAATGTCCTTAAGACCGCGTGAAAAGATCAGAATTTTGCCTCATTCGCGGTAGACGATGATAATCTCCTCACGACCGCGGGATATGCTCATATATTGCTTTGATCATGGAAGACGATAATTATGTCCAAACGACCTGACCGCTGAAAATAGTAAGAATCTCGCCGCAAACGCGGGAGACGATTACGATGTCTACACGGCCGCGAGGGGTTATCAGAAGTTTACCGCAATCGCATGCAAACAACCACCAATTTTTTTTATTTTCCAAATTTTTGGCGCCCCCCAAAAAAGCCAAGTGCCTCGCGCCCTAGGCACGTGCCTACCGTGCCTATTCGGTAAATCGGCTCTGCCCGAACTCAAAAAGGACAACTGAGTCAAAAATGACAGCTGTTCAAAGATTCATTGAATTTGCATTGCTATTTTACGCTACCTCCTCAAAGGGGAGACCACGAGAATTCGGAAGAAAATCATTAACGTAAGCATAGGTTGATATGTACATCAAATTAAAGGTCTTAAATAGTAGAATACAATGCTGCAAACTTGAGCTCAATAGAACAACTGAGTAAAAAATGGCAGCCTCTCAAAAATTCAAAATGGCAGAATTGAGAAATATTTTAACGGCTGCCATTTTTGAATCAATTGTCCTTTTGAGTTCGGGTTTGCAGCAATGTGTTCTACTAAGACCTTTAATTAGAAACCTAATTTGATCTATGCTGCAATTTAAGAATTTTGTCCGACTCCTCGTTGGCCGTTCCCCTTAAGGGATAAAATAAGAGTAGACATATATGGCTAGTTTTGATATACCAAGTCCCATTTCTTAATCTATATTGGTAAAAAATATATTAAGCCGTTCCGTTATTTTTTTACGTTTTGCCAGTGACTGGATTAAACTACGTCCATTTTGATTCTTAAACTAAATTGTTATAGTTAAGCTTTAACACAGGGATGGAATGTCTTGTTCTAACAGTAGAGGGCGTCACTTTACCAGTTCCATAGTTTAAGGCATTTACATTTACAAACTAACCATTGAATAAAGAAACAAAATATGGTTTGGAAACAAAAGTAAACTGTGTACAACATAGTTTTATAATATTCTCTCGGGTTTAATTTAAACAGATATATGACAAAAAAATAAACACTATGCCAATATCATCAGAACACTCAAACCTCATGCATGAAACACTGGCAAAAAAACCTTCAGACTTTACAATAGGATGCAATGTGTAGGTTACAGTATCTAAGTCAATTACAGAAGAATAGATAAGTAACAGAGATATCTCTGAGTAAAAACCATAAGAATTTGTGGTAGTCTATAATTATAATTATGAAATTGTATGACAAAGCAAATAGTGTAAACATTAGTATCTTCAATTTGTAAAAATCTGCATGGTTCCTTAGAAGATAAAACACCTAAATTTCAAGGCCTGATCCTACATATGTTATAGTAGTTTACGCAACGATTGCGTTAAGTTAGTCTTTACAATACGAGTAGAAATGTCGTAAAGACTATTAACCCGAGTTGCGTACACTACTTTACCTACGACCGTTTTTTAATTACTGACAATCTGGTTTTTCATTACTAACAATCACTACTCATAACTTCTAAGAGAGGTTATGTTTTCGTTTATTGTCATTGCCACTGAAAGTGATGCAACGACTTATTGTATAATCAACTGATTTAATATAATTATGTGTTTGTAAAACTTTGTTAAATAATACGTTACTTTTTCAGGGAATAGGTTCAGTTAGCAGCATTCTTACTATAAATACTTTATCGGGTACAATTAGGGAAATATTGCATATCTTTTTTGGACAACTGAATAATAGTGAAACAGTTAATTTACAGTTAGATCTCATCATCAAAAATGTGGTCCACAACGAGTTGGGTGAAAAAGTTGTTAAGAGGTTTTCAAAATAAACCAGAAGCACATTTTCATTTTTCAATTTAACCTTATTTTGTTTTGTCCATTTAATGAATTGCTGGTATGTAATTTCATACCTTTGTTTTGATTTTGGTGGCAAAAGATTAGCACAAACAGTTTGTGCTCTCATTTCCATCTTGTCAACTTCACTTTCACTAACTGTCATTTTTAAATCAGTTTAATCTACCTTCCTTTAACTTAGGTTAAGAATACAGGTGTATCAACAGGAACAAGTCGGATCAACAATTAAAATTGTCAACAGATCAGCTGATCAGCTGATTAGTTGAGGTTCAAAACATTACACGTTTACTTCTTTTCACTCAATCCTTGAACGTCATTGATCTGTTACCCGTGTTGTTATGAGAGAAACTATGCTGTTATGAAATGAAACTATACTGTTATGAAAGTAAGTAGCTGTTAAGTGAAACTTTTCAATTCTAAGAACTGAACTGAAATGGCTACTTTAAAAAACGGTCGTAGGTAAAGTAGTTTAAAATTGTAAACAGAAACCCTATAAAATAACTCAAAGTGTGTAGATTTTACAACTTTCCAACTGTTTTTATAAATCAAATAATTCACATGAGATTGATTCCGAAAACTCTTAGACAGCCTTGGTTGATACAGACAATGATTATAGAGTCTTTCTCATTTCCTATGATAAATTTCCATAATCTTAAAATAGATAAACCTGCCATATGGTTTTGCAAAATATTATATTTTACTTGTTTAAGCCAGCTGTGTGGCATGGGGAAAAATGCATTTGACAGTTCTGCTTGTTTATATTTTGATGTGAAATCAACATTGTAAATATTGTAGCCATGGAGACCAATCAATATTTACTTTTAAATCTCAGAATGTTGAAAGCCAATGAGGCTAAGCTCTCGGTCAGTATCGAAGCGGGAATAGTCCTAATTTAATCTTTAGTATAGTAGCAATTTCTTTGTAAAAAATAAATCCATGTAAGCTGTTCAGTAGTTTTTACGAGATTGAGTAACCCACACAATATATTTGTATGATAGTATAGATGACACAAGTGTTCTTAAAGTACTTAAATATGAATTTGAAGTATTCAATACGATGGTAATTACAAGAAAATGAAAATATAGATGTACAATTTATTTATGGATTAAATAAATTAATCATCTTCCATACACTTGTTACAATATATTTATAAAATAGCAAAATCAATTCATTTGTCAAATGGTTGTCCAGAAAGTAACGGAAGTTTTTAATTAAGCTAAATGCCCAACTGGCAGCAAACCTGCAGACTAAGCAAAATTTAATCAAAATCGGATGATATTTGCTCGAGTTACCCAGCTAACGGACTCACATAGCCTATATACAGGGTGTCCATAAAAAACGTTATATTTCAGTTATCTTTCGTCCGATCTTTTTGATCTTGGTATCGTTTGATAGGAAATTAAAAATGCAAAAAAAAGTATTCTTAACAATTTTTCATAGAATTAGCCGTTTTTGAGTTATTTAAGTTAGAAAAATTCAAACGGCCGCTATTTTGAAATTTACAATCGGAACAACTTTATTATTTTTACTATTATAGGTCTTGTGTATGTTAACATTTTTACCAAATTTCAAAATCATCGAATAAAAAACTTCACAGATAATAATATTTTTGTATAAAAACAAAATGGCGGATATCTGGGTTAATATGCATTTTCGGACATACCTTCCTATAAACTTTTTTCTTCCTTTTAGTATGGGGATTCATTTCCCAAAGTCCTGAAACGCTTTTTATGGACACCCTGTATATAAATTTGAATAAATTTTGTTTTTGACCTCTGGGGACATCAAAATGAAAAAGTAAATTGGTCCTGGGTCCAGGTCCTACTAAGCCGCCAACAGTATCAGCTTATTCCCAATATTAGAAATAAGGGACAAAAATACATTTTACTATAGCTACATATTTGAAGAGTAATCTATTATGCTATTTTTTAATACAGTCCGTATCAAAATTAGAGTGTTTAACAAGTTGTTGTTGATACTTTTTGTATAGAGAAATGTGGCATGTTTGTCAGACCACTGGTTTATTCACAAAATTGTCATAATTGAGACTCGGTGAGACGCTTCTCTTCTATTATAGATGTTAAAGCCTGCAAGGAACAAAATTGTGACTCGGACCACTGCTTGCAAAAAACGAGTGTCCAAGAAACTATCAACCCTTTACACTCTGAAACAAAATAAACAAACAAAGTGGGGCAAAGATATGTCACCCACAACAAGTACTGGGACACAATCACAAAAAGGGGAATGCTGAGAGAAGCCCCTCTAAACGAATTAGAAGACAAATGGGAAGATAAAAATAGAAGCTGCAAGAGACAGTAGATGAGAAGTAAAATGAATGAAATGCTTGGTGGTATGATGAAGAGTGTAAGAAAAGAACATCATACATGAAAAAACATAGCAAGATAGCAAGAGAGAAAATGTTATCACAGGTACACAAGGAACAACAGGGAAAAAATGAACTCAGAGGGAAATCAAAGAAAATTAAAAAAAGAAGACAGTCTGAAAGTGGAAATAAAGACAATTTTATATGACAATTTTATGCAGCCGTCAACAAAATCAAGAAAAAATCATTCCATCAGGGTGCAGAAACTCTACTGCCAAAACCTAGACCATGAAAATATGGGCTGACCACTTCCAAGAGCTTTTTAACAATAAGGATCCAGAATACAACAAGGTTTGGGGTCTAAATCAAGAAGAGCATAATGCACTAAATACAACAGAAGGAAATTAGGCTCCTGACAAAGATGAAGAGCAATACAGAGGATAAAGAATGGTCGCACGTTTGGTGAAGACAGTGTAACTTTTTAAGTACATAAGAGAACCAGTCATCACAGAAAACACTAAAGTGTATGAGCAACGAAAAGTATACCAACATTCTAGTGCACTGGGATAATTTGACCACTCCATAAAAGAGAAGACACAGGACATGATCAAGATGTTGGCCTTCTCATGCTAGTTGCTGCAATTGGAAAATCATCACAATTGTTGCTGTGATCATGAGAGATTATGAAAGGATGTTACCTCGATTGAAGAAACATCATCCTATGAGCATGAGCAACTCATGGATGGCTTTTGGGGGATAGCTTTTTTTTATATTAAGGATCACCACTTTGAATGTCCTAGGGCCAACTATAGGTATCACACTGTTTGATACAGCTTATAAAGTCCTCACAATTATCATAAACAATGGAATAAAGGAAAATGCAATGATAAAATTGTCAAGTATCAACATGGATTCCGAGAAGTAAGAGGCAAAACCGATCTACTGTATGTAGTCTAACAAACCCTGGAAAAATGCTTCAAACATTAGATAGACTTGTTCATTATTTTTTTTAAATTTAAACCAGCATTTGATAGTGTGAGAAGCTTGAAAGATTGTAGATTAGAAGCCATGGAAGACCTTGTAATATCACCAAAACTGATCAGTCTATGTATGTGTTTGAATGACCATGGAAATTTCAAAGCGAGAGTCAAAATAAACAACAAACTGAGGGACCCCTTAGCCATTTTAGTCGGAGTTGAGTACTGGAGGATCAAGACAAAATCAGAAGATTCTAACGGAGAATAATTAGACGGAGGCTAATTGAGTTAACGAGGAAGAACGGCACATAAGAACACAGAAATTCAGGATATCTTACAAGGAGAAGATATTTTAAGGTTTATAAAGTCACAGAAGGTTTGGACATGTCCAGAGAATGAAGAAAACTAGGATTCCCAAAAGAATAATAAATGCAAATATAATATACACCACCAGAAGAAGAGGACGACATTGAATCCGACGATTGGACCAAGTTGTCGGTGACCTGAAGGTGGTTAGAGTCGCTGGATGTTGAGCTGCTGTCTTCGATCAATCCATCTTTAAGCCTGTGGTTGAGGAGACGAGTGTCTAACAGAGGTCGTGGCGCCTATTGGTATAATAAGCAAGAGCAAATTTTTGATACTTTTTGTTAGAGGTGTGCGGATATCCGAAAAATCAGGTCTGATACTGTTATCTGTAGTTTATAACAAATCATTATGAAAAAGATGTAAACATTAGATATTTATAATATTAAATTTGAACATCTGATCCGCACACCCCTACTTTTTGTGTAAAGTTGGCCTGAGAATCAGACCACTAGTTTTTAATTATGGTAACCACAAATTTGTGGTGTTTGATCTTTCAACTAATTGAACAAAAATATGTTTATTCGTCATTCCGTTGATTTGAAAGATTTGCTATAGACATTGCTAAACTAAAACAGGAAAGATTTACAATTTGTATTACATTATTTGTACATCCCTAAAAGGTATGAATGTCTTACATTTAAAATAAGGATAGCCCTAGAGTCCTAATGTTCAAATAATTGAAACACTCATAATTATACTAATCAATTGAGACTGGACCCCATTTGGATAATTGGATTTTTACCGAAATTTAGGACGTCTGCAACAATTTTGCGATCGGAAAATTAACGCTTTCGCCAGGATCGTGAAGAACAAGTATGACTTCCTGTGACTGCGGGAGACATTGATGATGTCTACAAAACCGCGTAAGGTGTTCAATACATTGCCGCGATCGCGGAAAATGATGTTGATGTTTTCGTAACTTGATATAAGCTTTCGTAAACCGCTGGATTTATTTATTTATTTCTACGGCAAATGCCATTAAATACAATGATACAATGATGATGTCAACACAACCATAGGGTATATTAATCATTTTGCCGCGATCCCAAAAAAATGTTGACCATGTTTTTGTGACCGCGGAGACGATGATGAAATTACACAACTGTGGGATATATTAATAATTTTGCCGCGATTGCGAAAAACGATGACACTGTTTCTGTGACCAAAGGAGACTATGATGATGTCCAAACGATCGCGAGAGAGGTTTTGGATTTTGCTGTGATCAATAGCTTCCGCCTTCTTTAAAACGATACTTATTACTGCTATTTAAAGTTTTTAAAATATTATTTCTGTAAGCGATTTGGATAGTTTGAGTTGGGATGATTGAAGTTCTAGTGTACAACTCATAGAATGTAATTTATTACTAGCCGAAACTAAATCCCAAAAAATTGCTTTTTATACAGTGCCTGCAAAGTAGTTTGCAACTTTTAAACTTATTAAACATGTTTACACCTCAAGTGAAATACCCATTCATTGATTTTGTTGATCAGAACTTTGTTATTACATTTTTTACCTACATCTTGTTACATGTACTTGTTCTCAGACAAAATACATACAGTATGTACCTAAATTATTTGTATATAAACTTCTAATATAATATTTACAATAATAAGAATGTACATTGAAATCAACAGTGATCTACTAATGAGTGTTAGTAAAAACTGTAACAATCTCTATTTCTAATTTAACATATTTTTAATTCCAATCCTTTTTCCCCATATCATGAGGCTTTAATAATTATTATTACTGTGGTGTAGAAACAACATTTTAACAAGTCAGTACCAGTAGCAGTTCCTAACCAAAATCGATCTTCGGATATTGTTATCATTTTTACTCATTCTTTTAAAGCAGATTGCAATAGTTGTTGACAGTTTCTGTATTATATTTATGCTGTAAAAATGTGTTGGTTACATTCAAACAGCAATCTTACTTTGTGATTTGGGGGTGAATTTGTGATTGCAATTTAAGAATTAAATGTAGGTAATTTATAAAGTATAATTGGGAAAATTTCTACAAGGACTAGTTCTACAGTCAAGGAATTTTGACCATTCAAACTTTTTAAGTTAACCAAAACCAAGTTAATGTTTTGTTTTGAGGAAGTAGATTACAGTGTTTTGGTTAGTTATTGGTCAGTAGAAATTTCAATACTTAGTGTGAGATGACTTTTTTAAAGTTAAAACTTAGGTAGGGCAAGTTAAATTTAGAATTATAGTTTATACTCAACTATTTTTCAGTTCCATGTGAAACAGGTCTATAGGAGAGTCAGAACACTAAATCAAATTGTTTTTTGTGTTCAATAAACATATTTTTTTGTAAAATGATTCCTAACTGAAACTGATTAACATCAACCTCTAATAGCTAAAGAACACATAAAAGACTTCAACATTTAATTTTTTTTTTCTATTTTTTTAGTTAATATTTTAGCTAATTGGTTAGTTCTATTGATATTTTTAGTAATACAACATTTTTGATAATCTGGCACTTATGTAGATGAGAGGGTGTATGATTATGGAGAATCAAAATTACTTTGGTGATCTTTACTTATCCAAGAATAAAAACTTTTAAAATTATTTAGGGAATATTTACCTGTTTGGCTTTCTGAAGCGCTTGTCTCTTATACAGGTAACTCTCACGGTCCAGGACAAACACCATCTTGTACGAGTTGAGATTGAATTTACATTCCGTGTCATCACACGAATCAATCTTAGGTGGGATCTTGTTTTTGTTGTTGGCTACTCGCTCCCGCCACAACCTGACATTTCGAGGTAAGAAGATGGCTTTTCCCCACAGCCTTCGTTCTTGCTCTTCTTCATCTAATTCCTGGATCAAGGAACAAGAATGAGTCTGCTACTAAAAACATCAGATTATAATCTACTAAATCTAACTAATCAGACATTTACATTAAAGATTAAATTTAATGTACATGTTTCGTATAGCGGAACAAAAATTATCTGATCCTCAACAGACATTTACCTTACATGTAGGCCTAATGAAATACCATTCATAATACGAATGAATAATATTTCATTAGGCCTAAAGTTATTGACCATTTTCACTAAAGCAAACTCGAGGGATATTCCTGACTTTAAAATATATATTCAGCTTTTGAAAATGTACTTTTAATCTTTAATAATACAATTTTATTCTAGATTTTCTCTAAACTATACTCCATTTTGTTTACTGTACAGTATGGAGTATCCGTAAGCTATGTATTTCAAATGGGGGTTTCAGCAACACTAGCCGTCCTAAAATCATTAGGACCCACAAAACAATCCATAATGTTTTGTTTCCTTTTGCTCCTTCACTAATTTTAGCTATACCAGAGTCAAAATACAAATCTTTAAAACGCAGAAGGTTGTGAAATTTATTTTAGTCCATTTACAAGAGTGTAAGGACAGTTGATGAAACCCATTTGGCAATTAATTAACAGGGTGGCCACTCAAAATTGATTTTCAAAATCCCGGACAATGGAGTCATGACAACAACACAAACGCACAAGCAGCAATATAGTTCTGCCAAGGTCGCATTCCTCAAATTCAAATTCCTTTACGTTTTTCCTCTTCACCAATTTTGTTCACTTTGACCTTTAGACAGTGTATGATGAATGAGCGTTTTTGCCTGAATAAATCATTAAACAAACAAGATGATAGAGTGCGATGCCGTTCACTGCCAGTTCAAACTCAATTGGCAACAAAATTGACCAATAACCGTTAAGCCTCGTTCACATGGGGCGAGTTTACAAGCTAGCTCGTCAGTGGATAAAAAGCCAGCAAGTCGGCAAGTGCACTTGTATTCGTTCACTTGGAACTTGTTCACTTGCCAACTCCCCGACGTGTAGAAAGACGCCGGAGAGTTGGCGAGTGCGCTTGTAGTCGTTCACACGATGCTTTTTCCACTCGCTCAGTAGCTGGCTTGAACCAAATCCTCTGACATCTTTGAATAACATGCGCACAAGCACAAGCAACTGTGTTCACACAGAGCTACTTTACACGCCTACTCACTCAAAAGCTGGCGAGTTGGCGTGTAAAGTAGCCGCAGAGTCAACTTTTTCCAGAGCTTTTTTACAAGCATCTTTTGAGCATTTACGTCATTCACACTGAGCTATTTTACTAGCTGTGTGTAAAAAAGCCGGCGTGTAACTTGTAAACTCGCCCCATGTGAACAGGGCTTTAGCCAGTGTTGCTTCAAGTAAAAAATGTAACTACCAACACTTCTCTCTCAAATAATGGAATTGTGATTCACCTTGGTTCATAATAGAAATTTATTTTGTAGGGTTCGACTATTTCTTGATGTAATCAACAAAAGCAGTTCCCTTCTCCCACATAGTAATTTTTCTTTCCATAAGGACTGGGATACATAAAAACCAGGGAGGGTATGATTATGATATTTTAGTATTGACAAGAACAGGAGCTATTGCCCGATTTGAATTGCAACGAATTTTGTAGTGTACGGCTGTCTCAACCTGTTTGGACAAGAGTGGTTCCCTAAACATTTGTAGAAGTTTTTATGTACACGTAATTTTAGTCAAAAATTCAACGTAAATTTGTTTATGAAAGATATGAACAATTATTATAACATAACAGCCCTCTCAAGGTTTTTGCTCAAAATTTCTGGTCAAAGAATACCTAGGTGCCTGGGTTTACTAAATAAGTGGGAAACCTGTTTAACAAGATGTTTCTAGTCTAGCTTATAAGACGACTGTCTCTCATTAGACTTGTACTGCACAGTGAACATAGAATGGAGTATAGATAGCCATTAGCCAAAAGAGATTAAAATTATTGAGAAAATAAAGTAAGTTGGTTCCTAACAACAACCTTGCCAAATATACAAATATTTGTGTACGTAGCAATACACAAATGTTTTTCACAATAAATGATAATGAGATCTTACAAATAGACTTACATCGTCTTTCTCAATTTCGCTCTTAGTGTATCTGTCAACATATGCAGACCATTTTTCAGCTTCTCTGTTTGAAGTTTCATTTTCATCGACATCTATTTCAAGAATTTCTATAGTCAATTTACAATCAATCTTGTACTGAAACAAAAGACAATTTGTGTTAATTGGTGATAAATAGAACAAACATTTTAAAATTAGTTTTATTTTATTATAGACAATAGACAATAGTCTTACTCAAAAGGAGAAGAGGCAGCAGAGGCAGGCGGAGGTCACCTTCAAGAAAGATGTGGTGGTAAAGGCGCAAACGACAAACGTTGCCCAAAATGGGACCGGTTCGGCCCCCGCTCTTAAAAGGTCGCGGCCAAAAAGTCCCGGGACGGAGGCAATCTTGGTTAAGCCCTTAGGGGGGAGATCATTCGCCGAAGTCTTGGGTATAATAAAGGCTAAAGCTAAGCCGGAGCAGACCGATACGGTTGTGCGGTCGATTAGGCAACCCCGGGGCGGGGACGTCCTCCTTGAACTGGTTAAGTCGAAAGACAAATCCGCTTTTGCTGCTGAACTAAAGGCAGCCGTGTAAGGCCAGAGCACCGTCCGTGCACTCGAGCCTAAAACGTCAGTTGAGGTTCGGGACATAGATGGTGAGTCGACAGAGAGTGAGGTAGTTAAGGCCCTAAAGGAAGCAGCCCCCGAGCTTGCCGGAAGATCGGCTGTTCTTATTCTTAGGGTGTGGCTCACAAAACCAAATAGAAACCAGCAGCGGATGGCGGTCGCCGAAATGGCAGACACACATGCTAGTAAGGTGTTGGCACTCCAGCATTTGAGGGTCGGTTGGGTCAACTGCAGGCTCAGACGGAGGGTGGAAGTAACCAGATGTTTTAGGTGCCTTGGTTTCGGTCATTCCTCCCGAAATTGCAAGGGGCCCGACCGAGGCAAGCACTGCCTCCGGTGCGGAGGAGTGGGTCACGCTCGTAGGGACTGCCAAGTCAAATCTTGGTTTCTTTGTAAGGAAAATGAGCTCGCGGACAAAAACACAAAACATATAGCTGGGTCTGGGCAGTGCAGCGCTTTTAAAACTGCGCTCCAGCAAGCAAAAGCCCACCCACGAAAATAAGAATACTCCAATGTAATCTTGGGCGATCCAGGACAGCTGACGCGCTTCTCAGTCAGCTTGCCCTCGAACACGGTGTCGACGCGCTCTTAGTCAGCGAGCAGAACCAGTACCGGAATAGGGTCCCACCCTTTTGGTTCCCCGTTAGTTTGGTACTGCTGCTTTCTGGGTGCGTAATATAGCTAAAGTGCAAGTGCGGGGTCATGGAAAGGGTCGTGGATTTGTTTGGGTCCGGTGCAAGGACGTGACCTACTACAGTGTCTACCTCACCCCTAACGAGGCTATCCATGACTTCCGCAAGAAGATAGACAGCTTGGAAGAGAGCGTGCACGACACCACAGGGCATGTAGTTGTGGCTGGTGATTTCAATGCTAGGGCTGTCGAGTCGAATGACCCTCGCTAATTCCCGGGGGAAGTACATCCTGGACTTTGCTGCCAGGGCCGGACTCGTTGTCATCAACGAGGGCAACACGCCAACGTTCCGGCGACCCGGGATGAGGGGAACGATCCCAGACATAACCCTAGCATCTGAGTCTCTTCTGCCAAGGATCACAGCCTGTAGAGTCTTGGAGGATTAAACGGCCAGCGACCACCAGTACATTATTTTTTATGTCTTAGATCGCCTCCCGAGACAAGTTGCTGCATCTCGGGAAGTGCCCGTTCGGTGGAACACCAAAACACTGGACGTGGCTAAATTCATCGAGGCCATCCTGCGGGGAGTGCCAGCAGTGCCTGCCGCACCTGGCATGGCTCATGCAGAGGCATCAGTTACATCGATGATGGGGCTGATTGCCTCGGCTTGTGATGAGTCAATGCCCTGCAAGAGACTCCGTTGCAATAGGAGACCCGTATACTGGTGGACTGCAGAGATCGCGGATTTGCGCCGAGCTGCATTGAGAGCTAGACGACTCGCTACCAGGGCCAGGGCACCCTTGGATAGACGCCGTAAGCTGGAGAGCTATAAGGTGGCGAGGAAGTCTCTCCGCCGGGCCATCAACCGGAGCAATCACAATTGCTGGAAAACACTAAGGGATGATGTCGATTCCGACTTGTGGGGCCTAGGTTACAAACTAGTAACCCAAAAACTCACCACCCGCTCTCCACCTTCCGTCATGGAGGGGGCCACTATGGAGAGGGTTGTCAAATCCCTTTTTCCGGATCATATTCTGCGCCCACTGCCTGAGTTTGAGATGATGAGGATGTCCCACTCTTCACTCATGAGGAGCTGGAGACTGCCGTTTTAACCCTAAAAAAACAACAAGGCTGCTGGACCTGATGGGGTACCTGGCGAGGCTCTAAAGAAGGTTTTTTCAATCAATCCCCTGATTCTTCTGAGCACGTACAACGCCTGCCTGGCAGAGGGGTATTTCTGTTGTGCTGGAAAAAAACTAGGCTCGTGCTCGTAGGGAAGGGGAAAGGAGACCCAGAACTGCCGTCCTCTTACAGACCCTTGCATCCCTTTGCATGTTGGATACGGATGGGAAAGTCCTAGAGAAGTTGATCCGTTCCCAACTGAATTCAGCCGTTGTTGCTGCGGGGGACCTGAGCCCTCGCCAATACGGCTTCAGGAAGGGGCGATCAACGGTCGACGCTATGGAGGAGGTGAAGCAAGTCGTGATGAGAGCTGAGGATTTTAATCACTACTCTCGTAGGGTTGTGCTGCTCGTTACACTCGATGTGCGAAACGCATTTAATTCTTCCACCTTCCACGTCCCGGCATACCTCATGCGCATTATAGCGGATCACCTCTGGTTCCGCCTCCTCATGTATGATACTACAGAAGGCCCGCGGACGATGAGTGTCACTTCTGGTGCTGCCCAAGGTTCCATACTCGGCCCAGACCTCTGGAACGTTGCCTACGACAGCCTCCTTAGGTCTGAAATGCCTGAAGAAACCGTTTTAGTTGGGTACGCAGATGACATTGCAGCTTTAATAGCTACACGTAGTGTTGAGCTGGCTCAGCTAAAATTAAACAGAGTCATGCGAACTATAAAAGGCATGGATGGCAGATCACGGTCTCTCACTCGCGCTGAACAAATCTGAGATCGTGATTCTGACCAAAAAGCGGATTGACACCATTGTGCCGTTGAGGGTGGGGGACGTCGAAGTCCAATCCGTTCGCGCCGCCAAGTATCTTGGTGTCATGGTGGACTCTAAGCTTAGCTGGTAAGCTAAGCGGACAAGGCCGCTAAGTGTTGAGGTTGACGAAACTGCAACCTCAATTTGTTTCAAAATTTCGTTGAACGGTTTTTCATTATTTTTAAAATTAATTTAATTAGCTGTTCCCAGGTGTGAACGATGATGATGGTACAGTAGCGTTGTTGGTTACCGGTACTGAGTTCACATCTGATTCACACTACATTTTTGCGTCCATACAAATCTGTACCTGTGCTAGGTTTTTGAGTTAATTAAATCAATAATTTTTATCTGAACCCTGGAAACTTCCCAGCACGCCGACTTGAGCGATCCGCTGGCGAGAGTTGGTGACGTCTTTCCCGCTTTAACTACGGAATAGCGTATATATTCCGAGCGGGAAATGGACCCAGGTGTTCTGGTTTGTTACCATTTTTATGAATGGTGACCATAGCTAAAATTACTCGATCTTATCCAAAAACAAAGCTATTGTCTATTGAGTAGCTCAGTACCGGGGAACGGGGAACCGAGCAATGGCTTGGTATAGTTTATTTCGATTGTGAAAGCAGTACGGTATAAAGGAAACCCAACACTGAAATCAGGAAAATCCGTCAATTCGTTGATTAAGAATCGTAAATTAAAATAACCCTGTCACATTTTATTGTATGAATATTATATCTTCTCCTATTATTTACTAGTGGTGCTTAGGTGTATAATCTAAACACTGTTTTAAATAAACATTTAATATTATTACTAAAAAATTCAACACATTTAAGAATTAGGCTATAATTTACTAGTAGGCCTACAATACTTACTTGGTTTTAACTCTTAGGCCTACAGCTATTCTATAAATTGATATGAAACTTAGTCTATGTCATATTTGTACACGTAAGTAGGATGGTTCGACGACAAACATTTAATTTTAAATCTATGAATTAGTTATGAAAGTTACGATGGTTGATGACTGTATTAATTAATGGTTTTGTTTTGGTTTATTACGACATTACGATTGGATTTGTTTTCCGTGTTTGAGAACTTGCGTGTATTTTAGCTTAATTTCGTAGAGGTTTAATTATTTAGTACCAATTAAACTGAATTTTCAATATTTTTCATATTCTATTATTTTCTTTTTATACTAATGGCATTTATATTTAAGATCGAAATCATGAAAATTTCAGTACAGTCCATTGTAGCCTACAGTTAAATGAAAAAAAAAACACTTTTTCATGATTTTTTAATTGTCTTTGAATTACTTTGGACTAGTTATCTGTTAAAAGTGGAATTGATAACAAAAAACAACATTTACTGTATCTTCATTGACACTGACATTTTGAAATACGGCAGTGTACGATTATTTTGTCGTACAAGGTTGGCAACTCTCCGTGCAATGGGCGCGGCCGGGTTAGCGACTTCCAGAGTTAGCCAATTCCTACGTCTCGATAGACTCCAAGGAGGAAAAGGCTCTTCTTCTTGTTTATGTGTATTTTTATTGCTGTTCGCATACCATTTCCAAGCTGTATCCTTCTATCTCTAGACTTTTGGTTTTGTTGGTTATATTGTTATGCTTGTAAATAACAACCCCTCCTTTGATATGTTCTTTCCTTCCATATGCACTGATAAGTGTGTAGTAAGCCAATTTAGCATGGTGTATTGCATTACTTTTCAGTCCATGTTCTGTAAGAATTACAAAGTCGGGTTAGTGCTGTGTAGAAGGTGTTCCAGTCTTTCAATTTTGTTTGTCATCCTGTCCATGTTTTGGTGAAAGAAGGCAAGTTGATTTGTATTTTTACTTATTGATTTTATTTTAACTTGCTGTCTTCTTTGTAGGTTAGCCTGTTTGCTGGGTACATCGAGTTTAGAAAGATTCTGGTATTGCATTTTTGTTTGAATTTGCTTGTTTTTCTTGGGTAAAGGTCTAAAAAATTCTTGTTTTGGTGTGTTTGGCCATTCCTCTTTTGTTTTGGTGGCGAATAGTCAATTGGGAAATGGACCTGTGCTTGTGTTATTATATAATGACTATTATTGTGCGTAGGGGTGAGTGGTTGAGAAGGTTGGCTGGGTGGATTTATGTAGAGATCTTGTGGGTTGGTCTTATAACGGTTTGGACGGTCTTGTGAAGGTTTTTGTGCCGGGGTTTGTCTGGCTCCCCCAGTATGCTTCATGAAAAAGTCATTCAAAGTTTTCTGGTCGCCTCGTATTCTTGCTGTCATAGGTGGAAGCCTCTCTTTTTGAGTCAGTTTTTAGAAGGAGTTTGGCTGTTTCTCCTGGTCATATCGGGGTTCAGTTTTTTTAGAAGGAGTTTAGCTGTTTCTCCTGGTCATATCCGGGTTCAGTTTTTTGAAAGGAGTTTAGCTGTCTCTCCTTGTAGTTTCTTGTGTCAAGATGTCAGCATCGCATTTCTGTTTTACACCATCTACCTGTAAGCCTATTTCTACATTGGCAGGTTCTTCAAGCCGAGCTTTGTTTTTGGCTACTTGGAGGGATACACTGAAATGGTTCCTTTCCTTCCCAATTGGTTTTTTGCACTTGCTTAGGTTGTGGTTTTTAGAACGAGGAAAAATCTCTTTAGTGGGTGTACTTTGTGTGACTGCTGATGGTGTAGCAGGGTTTGTTAGTTCACCTTGTTTGTGAAGTTCTTTTTGCAAAGTTTCCACAGAGCGTTCTAGTTGGTCTTGTCGAGTTTTTAGCTGAGCCAGCTCAATAATTAGAGAGGCACAGTAGTTGGGAACATACAAATCGGAGTGATTTGTTTGTGTTTCTGAAGTGCCAATAGGTTTTGGTGTCCGAGTTTGGCCCGTTTTGTCATCTTGGTTTAGTTTCAGCTTGTTTTTCATTCCACCTAATTGCTTAATTTAATTTGCTGAGTCGAGTAATAGTTTTTCTTTTTCATTATCTTCTTCTTCAAAGGTTCATATCATGTTAATTCTTAGTTGTCTTTTCTTCTCTAGTAGGAGTTCTACTTCATTTAGAGTTTCAACCAGTGAAGCATTTTGGGAGAGCAAGAATTCCTTGCCATTTTCAAGCTCTTCAATTTTTGCCTCAGCAAAGTTATCGTCTCTGAAGTCTTGGCATTTTAAGGAAAAGAATTTTTGCTTCATATCATGTAGTTCTTGCTTTAATTTATTATTTTCTAACAGTAAAGCATGTCCAGCTTCCGCAGCAAGTGTGAGCGATGTCTCTAGATCATCAGGATTTTTTTCTTGTTCTTGTAAATCTTGTACTATATTTAGGACATCTCTGAGCTACTGATTTTCTAGTGGAAGGACATAAAGCTAGTTTTGTTGCTTATTTCCATGCTAGTTAATCCAGTTTCTGATTCAGTTTTGGAAAGTTTGGCTGGTCCTTTATGTCCGGGATCTTGAAGTTCAGGTGTAAAATTGTATCAGTTTTGAAAAGTTTGGCTATCAGGGAATCATATTGTTTAGGGACATCAATGAATTCTCATTTAAATTAATCTTTGCGAACAATGAATTAAAATCCATGATATTATCCCCCCGAGCTGGCTGACATAATGTAAGATTAGATCAGCCAGCTCAAACAGAATATTTATTCAGTTTTTATCTGAACATGAAAATTAACGAACTTGACCATGATCAGCTGGACACCTTGATTATCCTGAGCAGTGTGAATACTAAATATATTTAGCTTGAATTAAATAGGTTGAAAACCAAACAACATAGGGAATTGTCTTAGTCGATTATTATTGGAACAAAAATAAGTTGCTACATGAGTAAAGACAAAAACGTACTTAACGTTGGGAAAATTAATCAAACGATCATTTGCTAGGAAAACTTGGGTTAGATAGTTAAAAGACCTGACATAACTTGAAAACTACGAAGGCCTTGAAAGAAACAATCAAGCTTTTTATTTCTACTTATGAGACATACTTCTTAACACTAGATGAACTTACAATGATGATTTTAAAGCAGTTTTCATGCTCAAGTACAGTCTCTGCCTTGCGCTGATAGGAAGCTTCTGCAGCAGAGCGCTGGTGAGCTGTGACACAAGATCCTCCCGCTCCTCCCCTTGTGTTTGCCTTCAGGAACAAACTTGCACACTTGGAGGACGGCTCATCTGATACCAGATGCTGCAACTGCAACAATCACCACACATCAACACATACACTGGAGCCAGCAGCCGACCCTCTCCATCGTTATTCATCTGTCACCTATTTCTGTTTTACCGATAAGGAATTTTAAAATAAGCTACCGTAATTCCAGTCATATTTGCTTTGTTGAATCCTCATCTGAAGTAGTGGTATAATTGATTTTCTTTTCAGACATACACACTGTAATTAGAAGTCAAACCATTGGCCCATTTATTGTATTTAAGACCCTTATAAAAATTGGATATCTAGTCCACTAGCCACATTAACTATATTTTTGGTTGGGTTGCCTTTACAATTTCAGGGATTGTTATTAATCACTTTACAGCACCATTCTTATATAATTAGAGGAACATTCATAAGTACTTAAGCTATCAGCAACGGATCCATAATAACCAAAAGTAGGACTAGCAAGCTTGCAAATATTGGCACAATCTAGTTGTTCTCAAATACCAAATGTTTTGTTTATATGGTTTTTCTAGTACAGAGATATTATACACAGAGGAAAATTTCTTATGAGACAAATAGTAGTTGCCTTTATGCTAGTAATGTGTAGGTGCCACGGGTTCTTGTGAAAAATAACAGTACCAAAAACTGGCATTAAAATACTGCCTAGGAGTGGCGGGTGTTGGGTCATAGCACTTGAATATCACAAATACAACATTTTGTAAGAATAGAAAAAGTAGTTTCATCATTGTTTTAATTTTTAAACATACAAACAGTTAGATGTAAATATTAACAAAAGGTACCTCTTACCAAAAGGATATTTGATATTTTATTTACCTGTCTAACAGAATAAATAACAACTTTGTCCAAAGTAAATGCGAGGTAGGCATGGATCCCAAACATCTCTCTAAGAGTATCTTCATAAGTGTTGGCATCCATGTTTCCATCCAACACGTTCTTCACCATATCCAAAAATACTGAATAGTAATCTTCAACTTCCACTTCCGCTGCAACATAAAATTTTTACAATTTTTATAAACAAAATCTTTTAATATACCAATTTATTCAAAACATCCCCCGGATAAATCTGTATTTCAAGTCTAGATACAACATTTTTGCTATTACAGTGATCAGATCTCTATGAGAAAACTGATGCTTTTTCAATTGTTGCCATATAAAAAGTTTTTACATGTGATTAAAGAATAAATTCATTAAATTAACATCATAATAGTGTGAATAAATGTATGTCTAAATACTTTGTCATTGATTACGTAGATTGGTTGAAGTTGTGAATTGTTGGATTTATCAGTTCGCAAGTTTGTTTACAGAGAGTTAAATTATTTTGATGGTATTGTGATAAAAATGATAAACTTAACAAATCATTCGTCATCTCCCAAAGATAACAGCCAAGCAATTTTAACTGAAATTTCTGGGATTGAACTTGGACCGCAAATTGTCTTACCACCATCCCAAAACTGTCCAAGACAAAATGACCTTTGTTTTTTTACAACTTGTTGGGAAAAATTCCACAACTATGTAGGATTGAAGTTGAATTATTCCTGTAAAGCATAGTATTTGTTTAACCGACTTCTGATTTAATTATCAATTTTGAGCTGAACCTGAAGATTAACAGTACCGAAAAGTATTCCCAGTGGTGAACCCGATCCCACTCAAACCTAAAATTTCACTACCGGTACTTGTCGTTCTCTACTGAAAACCATCATTTCAACACACAAAACAAAAACCAAGTTGTAAAACATGAATTAGATATTAAATAAAAAGATAAGAGTCTATGTAGGATTTTTTTTTTTTATCAAAGGATAATTTATTCTTATAACATTGAATAAGAAAAAGCCTTACACCCAGAGCTGAGTTCTTTGATAAAGATTTAAAAGCTGGGGCTACGCCTTGAAAGTACTTGAGCGTTGATGGCAATTATGTTGAAAAGTGAAAAATCTTTGTATTTTAGTTATTGATAAAATTTGTCTTATTAAACATTCTTTACGCCATTAAAAACTGTTCTTGGCTAAAAAATTACCCCCATACATTAATGAATCAACATGCTTTACTGTTATTGACAAATATACGTTTTTTTATTTAACATAAACGCCCTACTTCCATGTCATACCTAAGAATTCACATTTAGGCTTGAGCCTAAGAGACTGAGCAGCTGCATCAGACCTCAACTCTTTAAACTTTCCTTCTTCTTGTATCAAAATGTTAGCTTGTTCGTAGATGTGTGTCAATCTATCACAGAGGATCTGATGAAGCCGAAAGAACAAATACCAGTTCCCATTGCCGAAGAAAAGAGTGTAAGCTTCATCCTGGAAATATCAAGATTGCCTTTAGTAAGGTTAGACAATTTATAAACAGCATCGACCTAGTGAAAACTGTGTTGGCCTGAAGCAATATTTTAAAAGTAAAGTTCAAATTTTAATAAAAATATACATATACATTGGCATTATACATGTGACAAATAAACATTTCATTTCATTTCATAAAAGTGTTTTATTGTCAATTATTGGTAGTGAATATTTAAAATTGTATGATTTGATAGTATTTAAAGTATGTAACGTTTGTGCTTTGACTTTCGAAAGATAAAATCATGTGCATATTCAAGCCATAGATATTATTTTTGAAGGCAATATGTGTTGATAAATATCAGACGTTTATAGTATACTCTACTGAATAGTGCTTTTGTTGAGAAAACAGAAATAAAATTTTACAAGCTAACTAACATTAGTAAAAGGGATAATGTGAATACTTAATCTCCAACAAAGGCTTGTTAATTTAACTATAATTTATTAACTCACCGGATGGGATGAGAGAGCGTGTATGGGTAACTTAACGTCTTCATTTTCACTGCTTCTAGATTTGTCGTCAGATCTGCTCTTATTGTTCGTACCAATTTCAGGATTCGGACTGGCTGGGGCGCCACTTTTGTTGTCGTCTGTAAAAAATATTTGAGTAGTTAAAATAAAATTCAAACTGTGGTAAATAATTTTGAGGAGCATAACTGACCTAGAGGTTTAAACACAGGATTTCTTCTTTTGAGAACTTCCTCTACTTAAATCTATGTAATGGACCTCTAGTATTCTAAGCAATAAAAGCTTACACTGTAAACATGAATTACAGGACAAAATCAGTTGAAAAAAATTATGGGCATCAAAAAAACAATAAACATGTATCAGATTTTGAACAAGTTAACGAGAGGTCTACTTGAGGCATATATCGTTTATCGTACCTGCTGTGTCTCTCTCGTCCTCACTGAGCTCCTGTCGAGGATGATGGAAGAAGTCCGGCAGCATAACCCGCAGCATATGTTTGATCCGTTGCTTGTCTTCCTTGTTTATACTGGTCTGCCGCTTGACATGGTGTATAAGGAGGTTGGCCGCATCATCCAACACCGACTTGTCTTTGTAGGGCAGAACCATATGAGGCCCAGGCAGAGCAGTCGGGTCTCCAGCCTCCACTTGTTCATGACGCTGCGACACAACATATGTAATTAGCTCTTATAATATAAATTATCTTTCGTTATGACTATGAATTGACAATTTGTTTCTAAATGAGGTGACATAACAATAATTTCAGGGTGGTTAGACATTTTCTAAGAGGCACGTTTGAGCATGTGGTATGAGTTGTAATTTAGTAAAATAAGATGTAAAAAACCTGTATGGAAATATCAGATGTTTACGCCTAACTTGGCAATAATTTGAAATTATTGTTTCAATTTTATGTGTACTTTTGTTAAAGCCTAATATCACTATTACATTTTGTATTTATTGTCATTGTTATTTTTTGTTCTCTATTACTTTGTTGTATGTTTTTAACCAATATTTTAACTAAAATTTTATGCATATACAGTTGTTATTTTTTCTTTCTTCAATTTTTTGATGTTTAAATTTTAAACGTTTTATAGTTTAAAGTTAGTTGATATACGTTTACAAACTTTGTTACGGTTTAAGAACCAAGCAAACTAATGTTTTCGTAATAAAAAATATAATATAGATATAAAAATCTCTCGACTCACTCGACATAATGAAATGAAAAGACGAAGGACAAAACTAGGAAATGCTGCGAACAAGTTTATTATAAATGTTTAAATGAAATGTGTATTTGTATTGAGTAAGAAAATAAATAAATGTGTGACCTGTGCAGTCTCTCGTCCTTGGACTGGAGGGAGTTACTTAAATAAAAGCATTAATTAATGATCCTGAGAGTACAAATGTGCAGTTTATTATGGTTTTTTTTTTTTTTGCAATTAATATGTATTTTAATTTCATAGCAAGGAAAAACTAGTAGTGGTTTATGTACCCCAACTTCAATAACTCTTAACACTTACAGTAGACCATTTTTAGGGGATTATCGAATGAGAATGTAAATCCAATGGTTATTGTAACTGACAAGCCTAAAGCAATCGTAATAAAAGTAGGAAAAAGGAGTTTACCAAATGAGGCAAAGTTGTATAAACCTTTATCAAGGATAAGAACCACAGTGGTAGGCCTAGTGTTCTCATAGGCTTCTAAGAGCAAAATCTGAGAATTGTGCCTTTGACCATTATAGGACCATGATTTAAAGTCCAGGAGGCAAATTTTGTACATAATCATATGTTTATTTATTTTTCAAAACCACTATTATTTTTTTTACAGCCCACATATGTTTTAAAATCTTCAAAAAGTAAAACTAAGAGAATGAGGTGATAAAATATAGTTACTTACCTCATCATAACACGTTTCTATTTCGTTGAACATTGACTTGGACCGTAGAGCTTTCATGTCATTCTGTTTGAAGTTAATACCCTGGTGGTCCAATGACTTTAAATAATATTTTTCATTTTGTTCCCTCCATATCTTGTTAAAGCCCTAAAACAATCATCAAGCATTTAACAAAGTACAAAACATTATTGGTGTGATTTTACATTTTTTGTTCTCTCTTCAATATTGGGCTATTACCTTTAAGATAGTTTTAAAAGAGAATAAATATTGTATGACCTGGCAGTTGCACTGCATCTTATGACTTTGTCAATGATACTATTGTATTTTTACGACAAATAAGATTTATTATTATTATTATTATTACATACACTTAAGAATGTTTAGGAGGTGTAGTGTGTAGCACTTGAAGAGAATAAACGTTAGACAAAATATTTTAAAGTAGCTAGAAGAGTCAAAGGAGGGAGGGTAAATGAACAAGAAAATCTAAGAGTTGATGATTTTTGGGCATCAGGAAATAAGCATCTGGGAGTAGTAATTACAAAAAGAGAGTAAAGAATTCTTACAATTGAAATCTTTACTTGTGATTTGTTTCTCTAAGGGGATGTGTAAAACAAGTTGAACATTTGTTATCCAACAACAATCATTGTACTAAAGTTTCAAAGATACTGAAGACAATGTATCTGAGGTGAAACATGAAATAATGATCATAAAACTTTGAATATATATACCTTCTGAGCCTCTCTCCATTCTTCGTCTTTGGCCTTGAGCCTTCGCAGCACCACGGGCACAGCTACTACAGGATTCTTCTTCAGCCCATCGATAATATCTGGCCCTTTATCTCCATAAACTCTGAAATTGTTAAAGTTTGAAACCATATGCTCAGATAAAATATCACCCACAGAAAAATATTTTCTGTTATTTAAAATTAAAATTATACAACATTGCATCATTTGCACTAGGCCTTTTAGATTTAAAAAAGCACAAAGTTTACTGAACAAGAAAACACATTATTTACAACATTTAAAGCCAAAAGAGTTAAACACTACTAGAGTACAAAATAGTAAAATTGAGATTTTATTCTGTTAATAATTCATTTTATAATCAAACCGAATGATTTAAAATGTTGTCTGCAAACTCCATGAAATGGACGACCTGCTTACCAGTTACAAACTTAAGCATTACACTTCACTTAAGATTGTTAGGCTTTTAAACAAAAGTTTTACCCAAAACATACATAAGCCTAAGTGTTCCTAAAGTCATCTACCTACCTCATAAGAGCTCTTTGATGTATTGTGGGTGAATTTCCCCCCAAGCAATCGTCCAGATGGAATTTGGCTACTTCTTCTGTTGACATTCGACAGAGCTTCTTGTGAACTCCTTCAAGTACACGGATAGTTGCCGCATTCACTTCCAGAACTAAATCAAGCTGAAATGGAACATGTAAGATTAGGGTTTCTCATCTTTGTTTGCATGAATGAGAATTCATGATGATTAAAACTTATTATTTAGGATGGTTATTAAAAAAGATATATTACGATTCACAGTTTATTTGACAATTTTCAATTTAGTACAGTACACCTACGAATGATCCAAGAAATTAACGGTTTTTCAAACAGGCATCTCACAGAATATTGGCTGTATATACAAATGTTAAAACTATAATGTCACACAAACCATTGTATAAAATGTATGATATAAAAATTAATTATTTCCAAGAACTGACGTATGCTGTAATCAATGTGCAACACCAAACTGTTAGGTTGCAACGAATTAAAGATTACTATCGTCTCGTAACACTCTGCAAATATGGGGTTTGGTTGATGGCCTACGGTTTAATTTTATGTGTGTGTATGTGTTTTACAGACTGTCAAAGACCTAACACTGGCAGGTGGGTGTTGCCCTTTAACAACATAGATTTTATGATGTTTTGCACTTGGGTTCTCACCTCAAACCGTTCGTCTTCACATCTATAGATATATTCCTCGTACTGCGTCTTGCGAGAAGTGACAAAAGTGGACTCCTCGGACCATGTAGGGAAGGACACCCAAGTATCGTTGAGAACCTCCTTGCATAGTGCGTTGCGTCCACTGCACTTCTCCTGCTGATGATTCCTGGGCAAGGCACAGTAGCTGGCACCAAGACGCTTGCACGAGGCAAAATCTAAAACATCCACTTCAATTGAGAAAGCAAATAAACACATTATGTGTGTGTGTGTGTGTGTAAATAATAGATAGGGTGGAAACAGCATTTCAAAAAATTATTTGTATAATAAGCAGTAAGTATCTTGCTGTAGCATGTTACGTCGCTTGCAAGACAAATGGCCATAAGCACATAGCATATTAATATGTACTTACGTCCCTTCGCCTTGCAAGCCTATATTTATAGAGTACCGGTAATGAAAAAATTTTTGCAATCAAGTTGAACAGAAAAAGATCCACCCCTATAATTTAAGGTAAATGTGGTTTACTAATCTTGGCATGTTTTCTTACAAACTATTCAATCAGGGTGTTTACTAGTTTCCTTGAAAAATTACAATAGACTCTTGAATATCTTACATTCTGTGTTGTCCAAACCCCCTTTGGAAGATTAAAATGTAGCTTAAATTTAAAAGTGTGTCTCAATCTGTCTTAGTCATAGAAAACAGAGTTTCTTTAAGTGTATGATTAGTTAGTAAACGGTTTTATTTTCTGTAAATAAAATGAGTGTTCTCACCCTGCCTTTAATTGCTTTACAACCCTATATAACTTTGAGCAATTCTGAATTCCAAATTAAATAATTGAAGTATTGTTCAGAAAATAAAATTGATTTGAAATATTTTATTGCTGTGGCAAGATAAACATGTTTGACCTACCTATTTCACCCTGTTCTCCAGTGGGACGGTCTGGTCTGTTGAGGCTGTTGAGCAAGTTGTCTCCCCCACTGAGGGTGTGGTGGGGCGGAGAGTTTATACTAGAGCTGAGATGTACTGGAGGCCCGTCAGCATGGCCTATGTATTCCTTGAACCATCTGAAAAGCTCTGGGAACCTTCCCAGGAAAGGGGTGGCCAGCTGAAGAAGCTCTGCCCTAGACACCACTTCCTGGGTGTACAGGGCGATGCAGCGCAGGAAGTTATCATAGACCTCTTGGGACCTCACGGCCTTTCTTACCTGGAATATGAAATAGTGAGTATATTCATCCACTATAAACAGAGATAAATCATACTTAGACTTGGTCATTGCCAAATCATTTAGTACTTGTGGCAAACGTAAAGCAAAATAACATGTGTTGTATTTTACAGCTTCATGGACCCAATCCAGTCTCTTCACTTGAAAAATACCAGTTGCCTCTCTCTGCGGTGTCCTAAATTTACATCTTTTAATTATAAAACAAAAACAAAACAAAGTATGTAAAATACCCTAGAATATAGATCACAACTAAAATGTAATGATTGTCTTCTTGATGAATTGGAAAGCAAAAACATGAAAAACATTTTATGTATGAATAGGGAAATCATTTTTTGTATGATTGGTGTGAATAGTCAACTTCAAATAAATATTATTGAGAAAATTCACGTACAGATTATTAAACAGCAAATTTTTTTTTAGAAGTTGGCAGCTTCTTTTAACTTTGCATTTGCCCGTCCACATAGACAACAGATCTGTGCGTGAAACGTATCCAGCAAAGCAAGGGGTGAGCCGGTACAGTACAAAGGTAAACTGTACTGATAAAATGTTTGCGGCAGTGACCAGGATCCGAACCCACGACATCGCTGCCTTGAGCCTGATGTCCGTGACGCTACCATCTGAGCCACCGACTCACCTCCAAGGAGGATTAATTTAGAAGAAAAAATCTACCTAAGACAAGTACAGTGATACAAGTACTTAGATGTTTTTCAATAAGATGAAATTTACAGCTTAAAACTACCAAGAGCTGCTAATAACTGTATACATACCTTATCAAAGAAGGCAAAATCTGTGAGGGTGCCAAACTTGGCTGCCTCGGAAAGAGAAATGTCTCGAAAGGCGAAGTTAGGTTTATGCTTCTTGGCTGGGGGATGCTGAGTAGTGTGGTGGGAGGTCGAGGGAGACGAGTGGTGAAGTGTTATTGAAGGAGATCGCTTCAGACCTGTCAGGTATGGGGAAAAATAACAAGTTTTACTTACTGGGCCTAAAGAAGACTAGGTAAGATTATTTATGTCACATTTAATTACGTATTACACATCATGTACAACAAATTACAAAAAAACATGCAATCAATTTGATCATTTGAAACATTAAAGAAGGAAATCAATTTTCCAATAAATAAAGATTATAATTCAATGTATGTTTTTAGAGTAATGTTATAGACTGAGTCTAGGGATGCATATATTATACTAAGATCATGTTTTAAAGACAGGGTTAATGACTGATGAAGAATAGTTTATAAAAGGACCAAGTTCAGCTAGCTTACCTGAAAAGTTAAAAGAGTCCAGGGGGTGGAAGATAGACAATAAAAGTCACATAACACAACAATATTTCTTAAAAACACTAGTATCTGGAGAAGTCCAAGATAAGAAGAAAAAATCTGTTTTAGATTTTTTGACCTTATACTGTGTATCCATAAGCCCATGGACTTAAACTTTCTCAGATAAATTCAAATTGAAATTAAAATAATTTATTCACTCACAACATTTTAAATAATACAAAGTACAAAGACAGTGGTGTCGTCAAAGCATAAATAAACTGATAAAATTATTACTGTATTGTTGTATTCATAATGTACAAGTTATCATAAAAACAAATAAAATAGTAGTAACTATGTAAACTAGCAGAACTCTACCTCTTAATATATATACTATATAAAATTATTTGTTCAGTTTACTGTGACCTGGCCTACCTGGTTGAGCCGAGTGAGGAGGCTCCACATGAGGGGTGGTGGTGACTGTGGTAGGTGCAGGGGTACAAAGCTTGACTGGGACAGGGCTGGGGCTAGGACTGACAGAGCTACTGTTGAAGGAAGAGGGCATCTTGACATTTATGGTAGGTTTACGGTTCACTGAGGCGGTTTCTTCTCCCCGCCGGGACTGAAACACGGCCTAGGTTAACACATTAAACGTTTTATTAAACTTGCAATTGTGATATTTCAAACTTAAGAGTAAACAATACAAATTCAGTTAGTAATAAATTATACCAAGTTGCTTAAAATCTAGGATGATTTAATTAAAATTTAAAAGTATTGATTGTTATTAAGGCTTGATTAGCAAAAGAAGCAAACACTTATTTAGAAAAAAAATAGAAATTAGAGGTTTTATGAACTTAAAAAGATTTGATTTAAATCTATTAAAGGTTTGATAATATTCCATTTTTCTTCATTTGTTAAAACTAATACTTAATACTGTTATTGTTTATTTAAAAGGAGACAAAATTATAATTCTAAAAATTAATGAATTAAAATTAAATGACACTGTTATTTTAATCCGAGCGCCTGCGTCCTAAGACAAAAAAAATTTCAAAAAATAAAAAAACAAAAAAACAATTAATCCGAAATATTTGGTAATCCGAAATAAGCCCGGTCCCAACCATTTCGGACTATCGGGACTCTACTGTACCTATTCCAAAGAGGTTAAGAACACTTATATAGAATAAATAGCTAAATTTAACACTGTTATCATTAACGACGCTTTCACTTTGTTCTATTTATTTATTATTTTTTATTGTCACCATCACAGCAGCCATGACAACGATTCACATTTGAAGCATGAAAATAAATCCCAAGTCCACAAAATTAAAAATGTTCATCATCAATGTTAATCTTGTTTCTGTCCAAATAATTTTATTGTACCATGACCAGACCAATAAACTCATCGTAAATACAGTATACAAATTCACTACTAGGCATAATCACTCAGCAGACATACATTTTGTACAGAATTTTGTGTAAAAAAATTGCTTTGTATGACTGTTGGATTGGTTTCTTGTAAGGCAGTAGGCCTACATTGATGGCTGCTATTTATGAGTCCAGCTGGACCCCTAACCAATGGCCTCTTTTGACCTTGCATTTGCCCGTCCACATAGACTAACTGCCCATGCGTGGAACGTATCCAGCAAAGCAAGGGGTGAGCCGGTACAGTACGAAGGTGAACTGTACTGATAAAATGTTTACGGCAGTGACCAGAATCCAAAGCCACGACATCGCTGCATTGGGTCAGAAGTCTGTGATGCTACCGGCTGAGCTACCAACTCACCAAAGCTATACATCACGGGTAAACATTTGGCTCAGTGATGACTGATTGGGCATAAATAAAAATGTAGGCTAATAGAAAGTAGACCAAATTTACCAGCTGAGTTTGGTGGTTTGTAGCATCTGGCAGGAACTGTCCGAACTCTGCTAATAAATCCTCTTGGTGTTCAAACAGCTTGGCTACTTGTGAGTAAACCTCAGCTTCAGTAAGTTGCTTGGTGTTGGTTGCTTGACCTCCACTTCCAGCAACCTCTTTCAGATTCCTCTGTTCCTTCTGGTAAGTGTGTAGAATCTCTAGAAACCTTTTGTACTTGTCAGGCTGCCCTTGGAAACGGTTCTGGAATAAATTATTGCATTAGCATTTGGGAAACCATATAGAAAATATAATTTAAAATTCTCACAAATATACATATTGAGGTAAGATGATTGCAATGTTGCTTTTACAATTTAGCTGCAAGATATAATTGACATTTATCCATAGTTGAGTCATTTCCAACAACAACTGATACGCAAGTGTGCTCATAGCCAGGGGGATGCAGCTTTATTTATTCTCCTTTATTTGAAATACAGTAGAACCTTGATAAGAAGTATCTCGTTGGGATCTGCAAATAAGACGTGTATTCGAGATTTGCAGTGTCATGTAATTAAGGGTTATATAAATTCAAATGTATTTTAAGTGACACGTGTTATCAAGGGTCTTATTACGTTCCACAGAATCTATATAATTAACTTTTCAATAGTCCAGATAGAAGAAGAAGGAGGAGGATAAAAGTAAAATTATTTTTATTTCCTGAAGGTACAATTTACTTTTTATTTGTTATTTACTTGTGAAAAGTTCTTTGAATTAGAGATGTTCACAAAATGAAGTTTAGCAAGAAATAATAATAAGAAATAATAATAGGTTTTTTTTCTGTCAGTGAAATAAAAAAGTTTTTCATTTTTGTAATGCCAACTGTGTGTTAGTTAAATATAGGGGTGTGCGATGCATCGAAAATGGATCGAAATTTCGATTCGATTCGATTCGATGCATCGAATCGCGATTCGATTCAGTGGTGGTCAAAAAACGATTCGATTCATGAGGGAGTCAGTATCCATATACGAAAAACGCCTGCAGAAAGTCAATGCAATACCCGCAATACAGGAGCGCGTTGCTGTTGCGTTTCCTTTACGAAGGCGTTCTTATTTAATACATTCTTTGCATTAAATATAACTTTAATTGTTTTATATTTTTTTGTTTTGACATTGCAAATGATGAAAGGTTTTGTTTTTTGTCTTGATGTAAGCAGTGTGAAAAATATTTTACTACTGTAAACCTAGCCAAAACAAGATAGGTTACTCCAAAATCATTTTAAAAATAAGTCTGAAAAATTGTTACTTAATACTTAACTAGTAAGATTAATGTTATAGACTTAATGTCATTTGGTATTTTTGTTAGGGGTCTGCCGATCCCCGAATGTTCGGGCAAAAGAAAAAAAAGAACAATTTATTTCCAATGAAACACTCTTATATTATTATATCTATTATTACAGAGGAATTAAAATGTTCAAATGAGAATTAAAGATTAAGTTGGCTCACGACCTAAAGACACAACGGAGCAATTGCCGCACTGCCACTAGCCAGAGCCAGTCTAGTCGTCTACTGACAAGAGTGACAAGACAAAAGCCGTGATGCAACACTAACAGTGCAAAGAAAACAAAGTCAAAAGAATAGAAAGACTATTTATCCAGACATACTAGTTTAATCATTTATTGTTTATTCCATACCTAATAAAAAATATATTTTAGTATTTTACATAATAAATTATAAACAAAAGAAATATCTGATAATAGTGAACAGATCTGTATCTTGGTTAGATGGGATTAAAAAAATATATTTCTAAGATCCAATACAATATTTACAACTCACAAATTACAATGAATTAATTTCTTTGAAAATGATCTGTAACAGTTTTGTGTTTTTGAATAAAGAAATATATTTTTTTGTCTCTACTTCCTTGTTTCATCACTTGAATTTTGTCAGCAATTGAAGCAACTGGGTAGCAACCAGGTTGTGTAAGAGGGGAGGGGGAGGGTCTATGACCTTGAATGCACACATCGTTGCCCGGGCCTGGCTGTTGAGAGTGGTTCATTGTTTTTGTTGACATACTACTACCCTTCCTTCAGAGAAAAAGACCCTGCTGTTCCAAAAACATTTTGGGTGGTTTAAAAACATTGACCTGTTGTCCAAGGGCACTAGAAGTTAGCATTTAACTTTCTTATCTCTTAATATAATATTATTTTAATCTTCTATATATTATTTAAGAGTTACTTTTCGGGTACCTAATTAATTGTGATATTGTTTGGCTTTATTTTATGGATTTTTAATTCTTTTCATTCATTAGCTATCAAAATCAGTTGTTTTAGGATTTTAATCTCGTGCAGTAGGTCTATACTACTGTATGACATGATATGCATTTTTTACAGTCCTTAATAATTATACCATAAACAACGTTTGTGTGTTATTTACTGTTTTTGAGTTTTATAGTAAATTAGTTTACACAATATCTTTTCTTCAATGAGTTCTCCACTTGTCATGTTGCTTAGCCTATTACTATTTTAGGCCCTATAAAAATAATGCCTATGTAAAGCTGTAGGCCTACTCATGCCAATAATAGATAATTCTTGATTTATGATGATGTAACAAATAATGTAAGTGTGAGGTTATTATACTAAGGAAGTTAGGAGGTAGGGAATGAATGATACATATTGCATGGTGGAAACATATTATTTTTATTTTCTTCTTGCTTGCAGTCCTGAAGCCGGTCCACAGGCCCTAAACTTGTGATATGTAAATTTATTTCTTAATTGTCTTTTTATATTAAGTTCCATTCAAATTTGTTGTAATTTAGCTACCGGTACCTATTTAGTTATTTAAACAGTTATTAAAATGAGAATGAATGTCTTGATAAAAGAAATATTTTCTTCTTTCTTGCAGTTGAGCCAATTCCAAGTAAAAATTATGAAATAGGGAAGTAAAGCAGCTCACTGGTATTTCCAGCAATACAGGTTATTCTAATCCCTATGATTGAAAATAAAATTTTTTCACCTAAAATTCATATGTTAAGTATGAATAGGCCTACCACATCAACAAAAATTTGTATTACACAAATGTGGTAAATTTTAATTATTGTTAATCCACTCAATTGACAATTATGAATAGAAAAATACCGTATTGCTTCGAATCGAGTTGCATCGAATCGAATCGAAAATCTTTTGAATCGAATCGTTGCTTCGAATCGAAAATTTTTTGCTGCTTCGCACACCCCTATTAAATAATCAATAATAATTAAATTCATATTCATGTCCAACCTTGATTTTGTTGACATAGTTTATGGCATGGTTGAACTCAACCGGTTGGCTGGAGGGAGTTGGAGGCTGGGCGTTGTCTACATGACTCAACGCTTGTGAGACGGCCTGGTGCGCTTGTACTTGCGTGATGTTGGTAGTTGTGTGGTTTGGGAAGTGTGGAGGTGTAGTCGCCGGCACAGGGGGTGGCAGAGGGGGTACAACAGCCGCTGTAGTGCTGCCGTGGCTCACAATTGTTGTACCAGACCTACAACAAACATGCGAGCAAATTGATAACTACTTTTCACTTAATGCAAATTTATTCCTGGCTAAGATAATTCACTAGTCATTCTGACTTCCATTATATATTTTCAAGTTAATTACTTGTTTATATTTTCATTGAGGAATGATTATCTTACCAAAAGTTATTGTGTTTTCTTTGAGTGTATATTTTATCCTGACATAACAATGAAGGCTTTTAAATAATTTCAAAAAGAGTTTAAAAAGTTTTTAACAGTCACAAATTATCAAAATAAGATATACTAACAGCAACAGAGGCTTAGTGGTTGCTACAGGCATCACAGTTGTAGGTATATGGGTGTGGTGCACTGTCGGAGCTGCAGGCACCAGTGTTGTCGTGGCAGCACTGGGAGAAGGCATGCTTACTTGCACTTGAAATGAATAGCCCTGAAACAGAACAGTTAGTGTTAAAAAAAACAGTCAATTTGTAATGTAAATGTTTGCCCCTCAGGATTATTTTAAGTATTTAAAGCTTCTATTTCATTCACAGAATATATCTACAGTTAATTTTGTTAAATATTCCCTTGTACACTATTGATGATGCTTAGCAAGACTAAGTGTTGGTTTTCTCACCAAAAATTAAAATATTTCATAACCAATTTTTTAATCATGGATGGAAATGAAAATCTTGATCTGAACTTGCAATTCAGTCTCGCCCGCCAATATAATATTTATTTATTGGGTATTTTTCAAACTCCTGTAAACATTTTCTTTTACTTTAAGCTTTAAAAAACAGCAATACAAATTATTTCTCCTATATGAGTATTTTTTTTAATTGCGTAATTCCATGAAAGTTTAGAAAAAAATCATGTTGGGCTTAAAATTTATTGATTTTTAGTTGCGTGCCGATCTTTGCTTGTTTGGATATTATTAGTATCTATACATAGAGTTTGTTTATTAAAAAAAAAAATAATTATAATAATAATAAATAAATAAATAAAAAGTTTATTTATACTGTATAAATGCACAAAAAATGTTATTCAGCTTTTCAAATTAGTATGGTTGTCATATCAGTGCTAACACTTTTTAATAAAAAAAGTAAAAAATAGAAGAAAATTGTTAATAAATAGAGGAGATGACTTTTGTTAACACAATGAACAATTTATTGTAAAGATATTTAAAAGTAGCATAGTAGTTTGGCTGCAGATTTGTTGGAACTTCCATGATGATTGTGATACTGGACTGGAGAGATAAGGAGGACACAAACACTGACTGATGGAAGTGATAAGAGTTTGGACTTGATTTCCCTTTAGTTTAATGAGCTGCAGACAAGCCATGTCAGGCTTTTGCAGCATGGTGTATAATGATCTGTAAAAATGTGTGTTCAATTTGTTTCATTTAAATAAATAAATAAAAAACAATCCAGAATTCACCACATAGAGGTAGCTGTACTTCCGAGTTTCAAAACATATGGCATAAATTTTGATGACTGTCCAAGGACAATACACTGGTTATTATGAAATTTGAATCCAAAAAATTCTGTCAAACTTTAAAAGGAACACTATGCAATGTATTAACACCTGGATCTCATTATTTATACCATCACTGACTGTAAAGCGTGGAACACCCAAGAGCATAGCAGATTTTAATGTGTAATACCTTGTAATATCCATACAAGCGAGGAGCTGCACAATTGACATGCAACTAAAAATCAACAAATTCATGCCTCACATGATAAACAGTCACCCATGTAACTGTCCCTTCGCTACAGTACTTAGATTATTTTCAAATGTGATTTTATTTCACTGTACGAACTATTTTTGTACTAGGACGCTAGGCACAAGGCCGGAATTGTTTTTCACATTACTTCAGGCTAGACCTAGGGGTTGCGGCAATATCACTTAGATAAAATCCATTGGAGATTTGGCGGGATTTGAACCCGGGACCTCAATGACCAAAGTACCGCACTGTACTACCCTTTATCGCCAATACGTTTACAAATTTCAATCATTTTTTTATAACGATAACAATTGGTTTACATTACTTAAGAACTGCCTGATTTTCTGCATTACATCTCTTTTACAATTGTATTTGCTTCAATTGGCAATAATTTGGCTAGTTACTGTTATATAACGTAAGTTATATCATTGAGTATACACGTATAGGCCTATACTCAATGGCTATATTTACCTGAAAAAATGTCGAATTGAAAGGCCTAATGTTGTTCAGATGGTTTTTTGTTTCCCTTAAATGTGAATAATGCAAATCCTTCAATGAAAGTTTTACTAAGGTTTCTTGGATGTAGTCATATTATTTTAAAATCACATGACTTTTATTAAAACAATAATTTAATGTCCTTGCCGTACCAGTTTAATTCAGCCTTAGAGTGTTTTCCTTTGCCAATCATCATAAAATTAAGTCTGTGTTTCCTACAAAATAGTAACACTTCGGCTAACATCCTTGTTCATTGTTTGTGTGAATCTTCATATTGTAGGTGTTCTTCATTATATAGGAGGTAAAATATATCAAATTGCCCAGGCTATTTCGATTTTTTACATTGTAAATTTAAGTTGTAAATATTTAATTTCAACAAAATCAGTAAATGTACCTAATGTTCGTTAAATTGAAAAATAAATAACAGCAATTAAATTATACAGCTGATCAAAATGTACACAATTATGTTCTTCATAAGGATAACATGGGAACTTTCAAAGCCACTGGGGCATAAAAAATGTAAGGCCAGTTTGCAAATCTACGCGACACGCTCTTTCCAATATGACGTCAATGGATTTCTTCTCGGACTTCTTGGGTACTTTTAGACGCTCAGTCCTCTACTTGGAGCAGTGATAGATAGAAAGTCTTCTTCAAGTACGAAGTGGCAAGGTCCGTTGGTGGTAGAATTGAGCTTCTCTGTAGTGTTGGGTGTTTGGTGGCTGCGTTAAAGGGCCACATCTGAGTGTTTGTGTTTTTTTTTTTTTTTTAGTGTGGGCATGGCTCCTCACTTTTCATAGTTTTTTTCAATATAATGTAGTGTTTGTTATCTTTTGGTAGCTGAGTTAAAGGGCTACACCAGTGTCTGTGAGGGCATGGTCTCCTCACTTTTCCTCCAAACACACTTCTCCTACTCTATTATTGTTGTCATCTGTTCTGCTACCTGTATTTTTAATCATGTAATATAATGCTGTAAATAATGATGTTATCTTTGAGTATTCACGTTATTATCTGTTGCTATTGTATTGAATAATTATCAATGTTTTGTTGTAGTGCTTTGCTTATTAAACTTGTAAATAATAAGTGATTCTCAACCAAAGTCATACGAGTGCTGATACAGTTATGTTATTGTTATGTAATTTCTAATATTCTATTTATATTTGTTGTTACTGCATTGAATATTATATTGTTATGGTTGTATTGCTTTGCATTTTATAATTGTAAATTGTTATTTTTGAACCATTATGTGTAACTATGTGTAACTGTTATTGCTGATCTGTATATCAATTGTTTGTATAAATCAATAATCTATTTAGTACTAATATCTTCAGTTCTTAGAAACACTCTTCAGTTCCCTATCCATAGAACAGTTATTTATGAGAAAGCTCCTTTGTATATGGGTAGGAAGCTATTCAACCACCTCCCTAACCAAATCAAATCGACAGAAAAGATGGATGTTTTAAAAAAACTACTTAGGGAACATTTGGAACTACTTTGTCCTTATTCAGTTGATGAATTTTTTGTAACTAACTCTTTTTGTTATATTTTAATCTTCTGACCTTATTTTATAATATATTACTAACTACAATGAAATAAAATATATAATATCATGTATTTTGTTGTGAAAAACTGACGTTTCATATGTTTACTGGTGATGTATCACAATTATGTAAATTCTATGTGACAAATAAACATTTCATTTCATATCTTAGGCTACCATCCTGATGTACACAAATTTGTAAAATTGGTTTAACCGTGGGAAATAAATAAATAAATGGATCAAATCGGTTAAGAAATGGCGGAGGAGTTCAACCGACAAACTTTGTGTTCGCGTATTAATTATATAGATATGTATTATTCACATGGACAAGTTATCATTTCTTCCAAGACCTTTTAACTCAACTTACTCTACAGGTTTATAACAGGACTTCCGTTATCAGTTAATATAAAAAAAAAAAAAAAAAAAAAAAAAAAAACACACACACACATCCAATTAACCGTCATGCTCCCAATCCCAAGGGCGACGGTTAATAGAGGTTCTATTGCACCATGATAATACGTGAGCTCAACTTACTTGTTCACTAGTCTTTACTTCAATCTTATATCCGGGTGGGAGGAATGTATTGAATCCAACGATAAGTTCTGGGTGGCCATTGAAAAGACTTGACACCCGCTCGATGACACCAGGTGTATCAATGCTGTGAAAATATTCAATTGTAAAACAGTTTTGTTAAAAAAACCATCATGATATAACATAAAATAAGTATATGGTTGCTTAGCCTTTTCCTGAATACCCTGGGTAGTTGCTATATATTATTTCGGAAACAACAACACTCTGAAGAGATTAAACAACTGACATTTTACGTGAAAAGTAAATAAACACAAAATAGGTCTAAACTCAGCATTAATGTTATAGAATAACCAGTGATCAGAACCATGTGGAACACATTTAAAATACTACTGAACTTGAAAATTTAGAAAATTTGATTTCAAGATATTGCTACAGAGTTATGACCATCCCAGTCCTCATGTAACCCTTAGTACTGTAACTTGTTCTTGGCCATTTAAAGTCTCATATTTTTTCTAATAAAGGGTCAAACATTTGAATATATCATTTTCTACAGATATATTGCTTTTATTTATTTATTCTGTTTATTTTTGTGCTCAATTATGTTACTAAAATTATTGAACAATATTTTCCTCATATTTTACAGTCTGCATCATTTGTTAGGGTTTGACTCCCAGAAGCATTTATTTATGTTTGTTTTTCTGACATAGCACTTTGGATACAACACACAGTGGAAAAAACATTTTTTAGTGAAAAAAACTGCCACCACTAGCAAACACTTACCTCTGCGACTTGAATTCTTTCATGATGTCCAAAAAGTCATTGTAAACCTGAGGCTGGTCCCCAAATTTGTACTTGACCATATCTAAATAGCTCAGTGCATCTTCAACTTTAAGCCTTTGAATCTGCTGTTGTTGCTGAGCAGTTGTTACTGTAGTTGCCGACGGTGTCATGGTTGTATTGTGAATCTACAATTCAAAACAATCGATAACAAAATTACTAAAATTGGAAAGAGACGAAAAGTTTAAATTGTAAAGCAGTTGGAATATATACACACACAAAAACATAATAGTGATAAAAATTTATGAAACACATCAAGATCCCAAGACTATCAAAATATGATAAACAATATCCTGGGATTCAAAACTTTAAGGGGTATAATCACTTGGTGAAACACTTGTCTCATAAAGAGGAACACCTTTTCAAACTAGGCCAAACAGAAAGAAAATTTCAATTCACCCCTAACATTTTAAGACCAAATCCTAAACAACTTTAAAATGGTTTGGAGACAAGGGAAATGTTGATATCGTAGTAAATTATTATGTAGACACTTATTTTTAACTTTTTACTATATTTAGGTTTAAATGTCATTCTTAAACAGTCCCAAAATTTGTTAATATAATAGTCCAGCTATTAACCAATTGTTTCAGACACATCTTAATCTTAATTTCACATATCTAAAACAACACCTCGAAAGTTCCATGTTGCCAAAAGAGAGCTCTTAAGAAACTAAATTGATTACCTGTTTCTGTATAATCAGCTTTGACAATCCATTTAACTAAATTCTTATAATCAGTTTTACAATTTTATACCCTTAGTTCCCAGGTGAAAACTCTAATATAGATACAAATGATAGCATGATCCAATAACCCTTTGCGCTCGGTTGGCCAGTTGTGACATCAAGCAGCTCATCATGGCAGCTTCCTCCCACCAGCTCTGAATTATTTTAGTTTGTAAGCTGTTTACTAGGTATCACCATTACAATGAACAAAAGAGACATAAAAAATAAACAAAACCATAAACACCCATGTTTTTTGCCAGTGCTGTTAGTCTTCTGAGCGTTTGAGCGTTTCGACATCGGCCAGTTCTGAGCAGCAAAAACAACTAATGTGGAATTCATCCAAGTTGCTATACAAAAGACCAAACCGGTAGCTGACCATCTGACTGCTTAAGACAACCTGAACATAGTACTTCCGATCGCAAAGGGTTGAAAGGTCTGAACACAGAGTAAACAGCTGTAGGAAACAACGCACGACACACACCTTGCGGAGGGGAGTGGGGGTCTGCAATGTATGTATATTGGTTATCGTCTGCGCACCTCCTGACACAGCAGGCTGCAACAAACACAAATGTTCAGCTGACCCACACACACACACACACACACACACACCACAACATACATTGTACCAATGTGCTTTGTAAACAAGTTATTTGATCTGAATTCGCTGTCTCAGAAAAGTCATCAGCAAATCAGAACAGAAACACCTTTGCAATGGTATACATCCATGGAAATGTTCAATGCTGTAGTACTAAAAATAATATAAATTACTAAATATATTACGAGTGAAACCTTTTAAAAAGAAGATTTACACGAGGGAAGTAAATACTACAGATATATTGTGGGACTGTAAAATTCAAAACTACCTCAGAAAGCATCATATACTCAGTTTGTATTTGCTGTTACATAGTAGATTATGAAACATTTTTAAGTAGGTTACGTTTGAAAACATGACCTACTTAACATGATTCCTCAACTTGACAAAGGAAAAAATGCCCATGTAGGAGACCAATGTAAAATTCAATTTTTAATGTACAAATTTTCTTTCCTTAATAACTGACATTTTATGCAGGATTAATTAATTACAGAACTGTGCCTAGAACATTAGTTTGCAAAGACTAAATATGAGTACAACTTACCTTAAGAGTAGGCGTAATTGCAGGCATCGTGGTAGGGTATGTTGTAAATCCCTGGACACTCCTTAACTCCGTAGCTGGCTTCACAGCTGGCGCATAAGTTGGCTGGTTAACTGCAATGTCAGTTTAGACAATTAACTCTCATATTAATGTTATAGGCAAATACTAATGTAATTCACATTTGAGATTAATAATTAGAACTTTAAAATTCCAATATATTTTTAACCAGCCAAATTTCATTGAGCTACATGTAGTTTGACTTAAGTTTGGTACAATTTACAGGAGTTATCCAGGAAGTGACAGACATTTTAGCGGGCGCGACAGTGGGCGGGGCTAGGATCCACCGCCATCTTGTAGTCAGAGTATTCCTACACTCAGTACGCAACAAGCCGTTGTAGCTAGAGCATCGTGTTTTCTGTACTTTTTAAGCAGTAGAGTTTTGAAATGAGCACTACAGTTGTAAATCCCGCCAGTTATGAAGTGTGTGAGCTTATAAGGTTTTTGTTGGTAAAAAATTACAAACCGGTTGAAATTTATCGGCAGATTTGTGATGCGTACGGCCAAGAAGTAGTGAGTGAAAGCCCAGTGAGGCAGTGGTGAATTGATTTTTTAAATGGCCGAGCCAATGTTCAGACGAGGATCGTAGCAGTACTTTAGGCCTAGTCTTATGAATTGTTGGTGAAAATCTATGAATAATCCGTGGAATCATTGTTTTACGATTACGAAACTCTCAGAACATTTTCATAAAATTTCACTTTTTAGTCCATGAAATAGTGGTTGGCAAATTTGGGTACCAAACATTTTGTGCCAGAAGGGTTCTAAAATTTATAACTGAAGAGTACAAAAAACAAAGAGTTGCTGCAGCACTGACATTTATGGAAGAGTATGACAAAAGTGGAAACCATTTTTTTATTGTATCGTAACTAATGACAGAATCAGAATCAGAACCAGGAATCAGAAATCCTTTATTGTCCTTAAACAAAACAATCTTGCAATAGACATGTCAATAGACAAGTCACATTATGGACTCCTAATGTATTCAACAAGACTTGGGTAAAGCACGTCAACTGTGAAACAAAAAAAGCAGTTGATGGACCGTATTCCCTGATAAAATGTTTGCAGACCCTTACAGCAAGAAAAATCATGGCTCCTGTGTTTTGAGACGCTCAGGGAGTGATTTTGGTACATCTTCTTGAACGTGGCCAAACAATCAACTCAGAGAGGAAATGCAAAACGCCTGTCCAAACATAGCAAATCGTACTTGAGAGCTATTGGATGGGGAGTTGTCAATCATCCGTCTTACAGCCCGGATTTGGCGCCGAGCGACTACCATTTGTTCACAGCAATGAAGACGAGGATCCCTACGCAACGCTTTGACACTGATGCTGAATTCCATGCCAGTGTAAACCAGTAGTTGAACTCACAGGCAGCAGATTTCTTTAAAGACGGCATAGAAAATCTTGTACGTTAATGATAAACGCCCTTATTTAAATGGCGATTATGTAAAAAAAAATCCTAAAAGTTTGGCTTCAAAATGTAGTTTTTGTTTTTTATATATGGTTTATTTTAAAAAGTCTTTTACTGATAGCCCTTGTATGAAGGTCTTTCTTGAATTAATTAGACATGCATAGGTAATGAGATGTAGAGAGGTAAACCAAATGAAAATTTGAGTTACAGAGGTAAAATTATCTACTTAATCCGCTAGTGCAGTATCTACAAAACTCAATTTGTAACAATAAATTCATAACATGTCTTTCCTCGCTTTTAAACGCTGGAATACTATAGTAAGTACTATTACCGCACCATGTCGTATGAGGGCTGTTCATGATTTTAGGTCTCCATCAAGCTTCCGTCGCGACCAAGTCAGATAGATAAAATATGAGATAAACTCTCTGCCCTCTACGACTTCCACTTCTATTATAGTTGGTTCCACCTTCTACAAAACAATTATTCTTATCATAGTGGCCAAAACAATGTGAAAAAAAACACCCACACTCCAGACAAGAATGAATCGCGTTCTGTGATTGCATTCCTGTGATTTGGGGGTCGCCGTCAACCACTATTGAAATCCCTTGTCACTTGATAGATGTGTAAGCAGATGATTTTGAGTGAAATGCCTTTCTGAATGGGATTCAAGGAAAGGACTGGTGTTAATCAGGAAACTATTGTATGTAAGTGTATGCGTGTGCAAGGGGATTTGGTCTATTCTCCACACAGACACTTGGGGTTTAAATAGGCTATATATATTATTTTTGTTAAGTCAAAGAATTAGCAACCGGTTAAAATTCCTAAAATAATTTAAAGAGTTATTTTAACTTACCTGTAGGGAGTGTCCTGGGAAGGTTCCGGGTGGGGGGTGGGGAGAGGGGACTCGAGGGATGTGAATACCCTCCACTACTTTCAGCTGCTTTCACTGTCTCCTCAAGCCGACGTTTCATCGCAGATCACATTTGATCTACAACAAACATTAGTAGGGTTAACTAGGCATTACAACTAAACAGTTTAAACTAATAATAACTAAACCATTAGGCCTACTGTGCGTTGAAGGAAAGTTGCAGAAACCAAATCAATCCTTGCATGAAATAAAGAATGTTATTGAAAGGTAGAGTTTATCATTTTGAAAAAAGAAACTAAAAGACTAGTATTAATATATTTCAAATAAAGGACATGGGCCTATAGGCAGCACCATCTGACGACGACGATTAGTGATACGCACTACGATCGTTACTTGTATTATTTACAGTAGAACCTCTATTAACCGTCACCCTCGGGACCAGGAGCGTAATGGTTAAGTGAATAGACAGATAACAGAATTCCTGTCATAAACCTGTACAGTAGCCTATGTTGATTTTAAAGGATTTGGAAGAAATTAAACCCGGTACAAGAGAATAATACATAATTATATTTTTAAAAGTACTTACAAACAGGAATGATACAAAACTGTTATTTTGTATGTTGTAGGCTACTTGTTCTATGTTCGTACAATGAAATAAATCACATTTTAAAAAACTGTAGCGGGGGTGACGAATAACAAAGTGACGGTTAAATAAGATTCTTCTACTGTACTTTTTTACTTAAGTAGGTACATAAGGTATTTAGTCTAAGCAGATATTCTAAACCAACATTAGAAAAGTTGGGATCCCGGCAATGTAGTCCTGCGATTGCGGTTTGCTTACTAGACGTGATGTCGTGAAAAGAGAACTGGCATAGCATCAGTAACTAATGGATACTCAGCCATAGGCTATTAGCGGCGATTTGTACAAAATTAACATTTCCTGACCCTATTCAAAATTTGTTTAACCTACAAATGATTTACTTGCTGTTGTCCTGTCTTCAAATTCAGGCAAAAATTCCTTATTTTTCCAATTTCCTGATTGGCTGGACATTTCAGTAATAATAAGTTCAGGTTAAATGTTATCTGGTATATTCTGATTGCAATATTGGTTCCTTTGATGTTGTGTATCAATGCACTTTTTAGATTTTTAGTTTTCTCAGAATCGCTGAAGATAGCACAAGTAGTCCCTATAGGCCTACACAAAAAGGGTGGCAAAATTATGTTAAGATTTATCACCTAGTGTCTACTGCAGGATGCCTATTGTAGGTACATAATTAAACGGATCATAAAGCACCAGTTGTATACACATTTTGATATTTTCAAACTTTTCTGTATTACAATATGGTTTTCTGAATGGATGATCAACTGATGCCATTAATTGTTTTGTTTTGGGGATTTATGAAGCTTTTTTATGGGATTACATAATATTTTGTTATAAAAGCTGTTAAGTTTTAATTGCTTATCAAGTATATTTCACCTAGCCTATAGCCTACTTAATAATTTTTGCCTTTTAAATGTCATGTTTCATATTGACAATGTATAATTATTGCATGATTTTTATACCTGATGACAACTAAAGATTGGATTTTGTACAAATAATGTGTATGGTATTCTTGTATATTGTGTGGTATGTGGATTAACAGGTTATAAAAATGTAAACCCTCATTGAATACAAATTTTTTTTATTTATTTACCTGATTTGTGATTTTCAAGATTAAGTATTAAAAAGGTGTTCAAGAAGCGACTAATAAAGACCTAGACCTAACTAAGCATTTGACTGTGGATCATGGAGTAGAATTTCGTTTAAGTTTACCGGTAGTCCTATTTTAAGGGCCAAACAAAATGTTTGTACATGGGGATGTTCACAAATACAAGATTTGTTAGAACTGGGTTGACTTCGCCTGATTCGTTATATCGGGTGAATTAAAACCTCAATATCAAACCATTTTGAAAAGCCCAACCTCTATTTACAGTACTTATTAAAACAGCTGACACTTTCTTCAGCCTAATGTTTCTCCAATTATCGGTGCAGTATAGGCTACTATGGAGTTTATACCATCCAATTCTTGTTTTGTTATGACCTAGAGTGCCAACCAATTTGTGACAACTATATTAGCAGCTAATCTGTTTTCAGAAAATAAATTTCATATAGGCATACAGTAATAAATATTATTAAGTAAAAATGTAACATGATATGTTTTAGGAGATCTGCCGCCATTTAAATAAGTGTTTCCTTCTTGATGTTCATAGTTTAAATTATTTTTATGGGTTATAGTGTCTTATCTCATTTTTCACAGAAAATATTAGTTGTAGGCATAGGCCTAAAAATATTAAGTTGGTTTTAAAAAAAATTTCAAGTGCATAGGCCATTTTGACTTAACTATACAGGGTTACTTGACCTAATTACAAAATATTATTTTAAAACTATAAGTGTGATTAAATGAATTTTTAAAACAAAATTCATAACGTCTTTGGATGTATGAAATAAGGGCTTAAACATTGATTGTAGGAACAAGAGTCAGCTTAACAAGTTTACTAATGCCAATAAACAGCAACTGCCAGTAATATCTTATACTGCATTGATAAGTTATCATTAGCTAAGTAGGGTGGGCATCTATTGGCTACAGTTAATTAATTGTGGAAATCAATAGGTTTATGAATTAATGTTTTATCTGTATGCTTTTTTTCTGAGAATGCCAAGGGAAAGAATCATGTTTTCTGATATTTTTTTAGATAAATATCCGAAAATACAATTATTCTTTTTATCGGCATTCTCAGAAGATACGATCAACCAAAATTAAAAATAAAATCATAACTGAAACAAATGATTCTATAAATGAAAGTGTATCTCAGCTTTGTCCTTAAAATGATAACTTATAAACAAGCTTAAAGGAAAATCATATAAAGCACGGTTTACATCTAAGGTGATCTGGAAAAGTTAACTTATGTAAAGCCATCTCAAGAGTGATTCTTTATTTTTATAAAAAAACGACAAAAAAAGAGACTAAGATCAACTGGAAAAACTAAGGACAAACTAACATACATGACAGTAAGTTTTTATGTATTAATGTTGTAAATTTGTAGGTTAACAGTTTTAGTAATTGTATTTAGGTTTAAGCGAATTTCCCTATAGGGAAGTAGCTATTACTGTAGGTGGCACGGTAAGACCTAGGCCCGGGACCGATTTTATTTTTTATTTTGGCGTCCCCAGAGGCCAAAAATACCAATTGTTCAAATTTTTTATATATATATATATATACAGTATAGTTTTATATGTGTTTGTGAACGCGATAACTTGAGTAATTTTTGTCGGATTTTGATGAAACTTGGTTTAAAGGTGTAAGGCAAGATAAACTTGAATGAGTTCACGAACCAGCATGATCGGACCATGTGAACGGGGTTTTACAGGGTAAAAATTGGTTTTTCTCATTTTTGACCCTCAAAACACCAAATTTCTCTTTAGACCTTTTTAAAGAGCTTAAAAAACAAATACTTTAGTATATCAAAGTGTTTTTGTACGGTTATTAATAAGGGAGAAACTTCAAAAAATGTTTAATTCCCATGTTATTTTTATGGAGATTATTGTAAAATGTTGTAGTTTACTTGTTTATGGATGTATTTTGATCAAACTTTGGCAAATTTATTTATTTTATACTAAGCCATTAATATTTTACTAAAAACCACACTTTATTAGTTTCCTTGTAGCAGCAAACCAAGGTACTCGTTTTAAATGTGTTTTAAATAGATTTAATTGAAAATCAATTCGGACAAATGGAAATTCGCTTAGTCAGCAGGATTGCTGCGGCAGAGGTATTTTTAGATATATTAGTTAGTTTTATCCATTTCATTTAATTGTATAACGCCATATAAGAATTTCAGTTATGACTTGCTAATGTGCTTAGGCTAACATTAGGCATACGGACAACCCAAGGGATAACATAAAGTATAGTAGTTGTCAGGCCAAGACTCCAAACTTGACAGTTTTTTCTTGTTTTAATCATTATTTTACAGATTCATGATATTGACAAATTTACTCTTTAAGCCGGGTTTACACGATGCCAGTTGGCGAGACAATTGTCAGAAGACAACTGACTGGCTTGGAATTACTGGCTTCGTGTAAACACTTCAGGCCAATCGGCAAGCCAATTGGCCTGCCAATTGTCCCGAAATTCAGTTGTCTCCGGGAGTAGACTGAGGACAATGAGCTGGTCCCAGTTAGGCCCCCACCCCTCGAAAACCCAGTTGTCGTGACAATTGGCGCCGTGTAAACGGTGTTGAGGCCAATAGCACTGTCTTGTCTTTTGGCAGTAGTACCCTGGTTCACTGTAAAATGCCTGGGCAAGTGTTGGCCACGTGTGAACAGGTTCTCGTTCAACTTGCCTGGCCTACGACAATTCCAAAACCACGTGATGCCAATTGGCAAAGACAATTGTCTAGCCAACTGGCATCGTGTAAACCCGGCTTTAATCTATGTATGTGTTTAATGGCATTGTCTATAACCACATTAAACAAAATGGACATTATGTTACAAGAAATAGGCCTAGTGTCATTATTTGCTAAAAAGACATCATAAATAAGTCAGGCATACTGATCCTGAACTGTGCTAACAGCAAGTTATCATAGACTATAGGTTGGCCGGTTAGAAAGCGTCCTCCTCGTAGCATTGGTGCGAGAGAGAGATACCGAGCTGTGGGAGTGAGACAGACTATGGCTCTTACCCCACTCTGCTGCCGCCTCCCCTCAACCTTCCCGAACACAGCTAATCAAATTAAATTATACAGCTAATCAAAATGTTAACAGTTACGTTCTTCATAACTTGAGAAAAATAGGCCCTGCAAAAAATATTGTTAGCCTAAATCGCATCAATATTTGAGCATCATGGAATGTTATTATATCATTGTGTAAGCAGTTCCATTTAGTAACACAGGACTCCAACTCCCACGACACCGGGGCGGCGCCGTGTCGGTGTCGTGTCGTGCAGTGTGAAAACGGCCATTGGCGGAGAGAGGAACATACCCTCCCTCGCCATTACCTCCCCTACATGCGCTAAAAGATTCGCGCAGGTCGTTTTCTAACCGGCCGACCTATAGTAGGCTGCTCAACGAATAATAAAATATAGA